TAATATAATACTATAAACCTTGGTTTGTCTTGAAAATGAAGTGTTTATACTTGAGTTTGAGAATTTGAAGTGTATCTTGTAACTATTGATTTGCTCTTTTTACACCATCTTTAAATAGTGGAAGTTCCGCTTTAATGCAACAACACAACACAATTGTTCACTTCAATAAATAAAGCGTTGTGTGAATATTTTCTTATTGAAACAATAGCTGATAGATATTGGATCTGCTAGCTAGAATATATCAAAAATTATCGCACTTTTGATCCATGTAATTTTCAGGATTGCTTTTCAAACCGATTCCCAATTGTATTTTGTATTATCAATACACACTCGAAACAATTATAACACTTTGAAAGCTGTGGTGCTTCTTTCCAAAAACTATTTAGCATTATTTATGTAATGTAATTAAGCTTTACCTTCTGTGCAGTTGATCTACAAAGTTCAATGTACATTGGTTTCTAATATATCTTTATTTTGTCCAAATTCAGAAGCGATGTACTAAAACATGGATACATGCAATTCCCATCAAACTACCCAAAAAGATCATAAAAATGTAATCAATATCAAATACAAAGCTGCTATAAAACAGTTTTGTTGCAACTATGAACATATTTTTCCACAATCAGTACTTCATTTGACGTTAAAGTTTGTTTATGGTTAATTGTGTCACCCCAAAGCGGAAATAAGGTACATCATCACAAAACCGAATGCATAGTAGTTTTAAAATCTCAACCTAACGAACTGAATTTTAAAATTGCATAAGGAGATTGTTATCAAATATTGTGTATTGATAAGTAAAATACTATAAGTATAGGTCGCTTTTCCATGTTTTGAGAATGATTCATTATATGATCTGATCAATATCAACAATAATAAATCAATCAAGAACTTCAAAAATGCAATCTCCTTCAACTTTCGCTGCTCCAAAAGAAACCCCAGAAAACTCTGACAACTTCAAATGGATCGATCCAGCTACACATAGTGGTTGTATCATTGCTTAACTATTTGATAAATACAATGATTTTGATATAGTTAATCCAGTAGCAATCAATTTTGGTGCTAATTGAAATAATATAGAAGCTCAACACAAACAAGGACATTAAACTGCTCAGATAAAAAAGAATCAAAAAATGTTGTTTTATCTTAAGTTTTAAATTATAAGCTGTTTAATAATCAAATGAAAATAATATATGTATTAATTAAGTTTAACATTAGTAGCTCCATTTTTGACACAAAACTCCCTATACTAAAGCCACATATACTAAAAGCCATTTACTTATTGCTTAGGTATTGGTTTTGTTTCCCTAAAAAGGAAGATTTTGAATTGAATACAGAAAAAAGTATGGCAGTGGCATCTGTGAAGAAAAACATCAAGATATTAAGACTTGAAGAAAGTCTTAGAGAGTATCATGGCTTTCATATTAGCATTTTGTTTCTCAAGATTCGCACTCTCTCTAGTGTCTATAGAGATGAAGAGTAATATTGAAGAAGCCACATTAAAAAAATCTTTAAATCTGTGATCTTTACAAACATATATGGAATATATTTCTTAAAGAAGTTTATTTATCCTTGATAAATGGGATCTAAACTTCAAATGAGCTCTATATCAGATTATTATAAAAGAGTTAGGATTCTCATTTTAGTTCAATAACTTTCATGTTTCAAAGTCAGTATAGCTGAAAGCTTAATTAACAAAGACTAGAATTCTTTAACACTACTCAAACTCCAAGAACAATCAATCCAAAATGGTTAAAGTCAATGATTACGATCCAAAAGTTTCTCCATTAGAAGCTCCATATTTGAAGGTTTTCACTGCAGCAACTGGTAATGGTTTAAAAGTTACCATTTTGTTAGAATTGTTGAAATTGGATTACACTTTAAGAATTATTGACTGGAATGGTGCCAAAGAGCAAAAAGAAGAATGGTTTTTAAAAATTAATCCAAATGGTAAAATTCCAACCATTGTTGAAGCTGATGCTGAAGGTAAAACTTTTGCTTTAGCTGAATCAGGTGCCTTGTTATTATGGATTGCTAATAAATATGATATTGATCATAAATTCTCATATGATCCAAGTACACCAGAACACTGGGAAGAGGTTGAATTGTTGTTTTTCCATGTTAGTGGTTTAACACCAGCTCAAGGTAATTTAGGTTGGTTCAAAGCAAATGCACCAAATGATAAGGTCAATATTGATAGATTCACTGAGGAGACTATTAGATCTTACAAGTTGTTAGATGATAAGTTGGCATCAAATAAATCTGGCTATTTAGTTGGTGATCATATCTCTTTGGCTGATTTGATTTCATTTTCTTATGCAAAGAACTTACCAAGTACAGGTATTGATGCTAACCAATTCACTCACGTTCAGAAATGGATTGAAAAAATTGGAGCAATCCCAGAAGTTCAGAAAGCTTTGTCATTGAAATGAATGGAACAAGTCTCAATTCTTTTACCTGGTAAACTTTGAATTATATATATATTCAATTGAGTTGACTCTTTATAATTTATAATATAAATAAATGCTTGATATAATTGACTCCATTCGAACCCCGTATAACCCCCTTTTGTAAAAATATTAATGTGGCTTCGTTCGATAAGATTTCCTAATTGAGGCTCCGAGAATCTAAACCAAACGAATCAAATCATATATCATGTTCGAATTATATGACGAGCTTCTGAAAAACAGACTATGTGGTGTAGTTCACTATTCGACTACTAAAGCATTCACAAGTAGTTGAATTAAGCATGAGTTGAATTGCACCTTATAAGATTTGAAATAATGAAGAAATGTGGATATGTTTGCAAAAGTTGACACACGTATCAAGTATCAAGTACAGCTATAAAAAAGTTTTAAGCCACAGATCTCATATATGCACCTTATTGATATTCAAATGTATTGCAAGTATTGACTGATAATTTGATGATGATGCATTAGAATTGAAATTGAAAAAAAAAGATATTTCTTATAAATTAACCAAAGTTCTCCCTAATTTTAATTCTACATTCAAATCAAAAGTTCTTCAAAAATCAAAGCATTTCAACTGCAAGTCGATTTAAAAACACAAAAGCTATAATAAATATTTACAATGGTCCAAGTTAATGATAATGATCCAAAAGTTGCTCCATTAGAAGCTCCATACCTGAAGTTTTTCACTTCTGGTACAACAAATGGTCAAAAAGTTGCCATTCTTTTGGAATTACTAGGATTAAAGTACACTTTAAGACCAATTGATTTCCAAAAGACCAAGGAGAACAAAGAAGAATGGTTTTTGAAAATTAACCCAAACGGTAAAGTTCCAACAATTGTTGAAGCTGATTCCGAAGGTAAAACCTTTTCATTAGCTGAATCAGGTGCTTTGTTGTTATGGTTAGCTGAAAAATATGATACTGAACATAAATTTTCATATGGTTCAAAAGATCCAAAACATTGGGAAGAAGTTGAATTGGTTTTTTTCCATGTTAGTGGCTTACATCCAGCTCAAGCAAATACCACCTGGTTCAAAAAAAATGCACCAAATGAAACTGCCAATCTTGAACGTTATACCAATGAATTGATCAGATCTTATAAGTTATTAGATGATAGATTAGCTCAAAGCAAATCAGGCTTCTTGGTTGGTGATCATATTTCTTTGGCAGACTTGATTGCTTTACCACATGCTAGAGGTTTATCAAATACTGGTATTGATGTTGAACAATTTGCCAATGTTCAAGCTTGGATCAAGAAAGTTGTTGAAATTCCAGAAGTTAAAAAAGCTCTTGAATTGTTATAATCTGTTTATTCAAACAAATATTAGTTAAAATCATTGAAATCTGAGTAATAAATGATTTTATACATTATAATTTTCTAGTAGCTATCGGCCGAATTAACGGCTTTTGAGTGCAAACGCGATTTTTTTTTTATTTTGCTTCGAACATTTACCGGCCGACAAAGGGATGTCACTTTTAACATAAAATATATGTTCACTTCCAAAAAAAATTAACAAAACAGTCCATATTGATATAATAAATAATAAAGTATATTCTTAAAGTCATAATTCAAGGCTATTATATCAACACAATATAGAGACATAAGACATTATAATGCCCAACATGAAGGGAATCAAGAGAAGAAGAGTGATAAACTCTTGCCTACACTGTCGTGAAAAGAAATTAAAGGTATGATCTATGTTATTAGACTCACATGATGAAGACTGAAACTAACAAATCTACCAAGTGTGATAAAGAAAAGCCTATTTGTGGAACTTGTATCAGGGCTAATCATACGCGATGTGAATACACAGATGCTAATAGATTACCCCCAACTCCAGATGAGCATCCTCCTTCTCCAAACGAAGTGATAGATATTCACAGAGGTTCGAAGCTCATATCAAAAGAAGGTCCATTATCATTTATTTCTATCATTAATATGGATCCTTTTATAAGGAATATATTATATTCAGTGAAGAATATTAGAAAACATCAGTTGAAAATTCAAGAAGAAGTCAATAATCCCAGACCTGATAATTTATCACCAACACCTTCTAGTGAGCTTTTTAATGTTATAAAACCTTATATCATTGATACAAAGCTGGTATGGTTCCTTGTCAATCATTTTTTTGATAGTGAAGTGTATCCAAGCTGCTCCTTTATTTCTAAAGAATCTTTTAAAAGTTGTTTGATAAATTATATAGGACCTGAATCATTTCCTGCTGTAAGGTATAAGGTTGATACTCCATTTGATCATATATTCTTGGGTACGTTGTTAGTTATCATGAGAATATCATCAGCTTCATTTTATAATTGTGGCTATTCAACAGATTTTGAGCATAATACCATAGGACCTGAAGTTGTTGCTTTAGCTAGGAGATGTTACGATATTACCAAGTCACAATATCTTAGTTGCAGATTAGAAATGTTACAACTCTTACTTATTATAAATTATTACGACAATAATGCACCTGAAGAAGTAACTTCTCTTGAAAGTCATGAAACTGAAGGTGTTGCTATAGTTGCTTATAGGATAGCCATGGGTCTTGGACTTAATTTGGAATGTGAAACTGAACATCTCAAAAGATTATGGTATCACATAGTTCAATTAGACACTGAGCAATTTGTTAGAAATGGAGCTTCGGATTTTTTCATTCGTGATGAATCATACACAACTACTTTTCCCAAAATTAAGGATATATCCACTGATGTTACAGTGGAAAGATTTAAAGTTAGAACTTTGTTAAAATCAATTGCTTTAAGAATTACTAATGTTAGAGAAACATTATCTATCAGTATACTTGAATCATTGATTAGACCACTAGAGGTTTACTTGGAAGACGTTTCATTAGATTCAATATTTAAAACTCCCAATAAGGCATTGAAAGCTGCACAATTCTTGAACTTTATGGAAATTTCAAGTGTAATTTATATGGTCACATATCATATTTGTATTCATTTAACAGGAATTGACAGTGAAAGAGCCATCAATAAAATGTTCCAACTATTATCCATATCTAATAAGATCATCCCGGTAACTCATTTCTTAAACTCAAGTAAAGAACATCAATTTAATTTACAACAACAGTTTGGTTATAGTTTTAATATTATCCCAAAAATTTTACAAACATTACATAAATTTTCACAGTTGCAAATTTCATTGACAGGAAGAGCAAACTTCTTCTTAATTATGAATAATGATGTTGATACTTTGAATTTCAAAGAGATGAAAAGAATAGCATATCAAAACTCCAAAATGATAATTCGGAATTTTAGTAGAATCGATACAGAATATTTTTTCTCCAAAAGAATATATAAGATTCAAACTTTAATATTTTTTAACTGTTTTGGTACTACTTATGATTCATCAGTATCACAAACTTATTTGGATTTATTGAGAAATGAACCACAAATTGTTGATTCTAAAGTTTTCGGTGAATTAGTTGAATTGAATAAATCAGATATTAATAATGACCAATCATCAAAAGAAAATGAAGTCTCTGATATTTTAAATTTACAAATAGATCAACAAATAATTGAAGAATTAGGAAATATTTTAGAAACAGATTCCTTTTTAACTAATAGTGATTCATTAATACTTTAATTAACTATTATACAAAATAACGTGTAACACATTAGAATTGAATTTTTATCTTATTTTATTATACATTGTAATTTTAATTTGAGTTGATATACGTCCAATGGTTTATTTCTATTGAAGGACTAAACAAACACAATTTGAAGTTTAGTTTACATTTAATTGTAGTTTTCATTGGTTTTGATATCAAATCAAACTTGGTCCATCATATGCTTGAAAACTAAATTGATTTCCTGTTTGTTGCTGGTTTGGGAATGATTGTTGCTGTTGCTGTTGTTGATTTTGGTAGGATTGTTGTTGTTGATTATATGCAACTTGTTGTTGTAAATCCCAATTTGCCTTTTGTTGAAATTGATTAGTATGTTGTTGTTGAATAGTTTGGGGGAATACAGGATTAGTAGGCAAATTCTCATATCCACCGAAGGTTTGTTGTGGTTGTATAGGATTATTTGTTGAAATTCTATTTGATGTATAACTTGCCTTTTGAAATGGATTCGTGCCTGTCACTTGACTTGTCAATGGACCAGTATGTAATGTAGAATTTGGATTTGAGGACGAAGCTGATTGAGCAGCAAATGGATTACTTGTCTTTTGAGGCACTAAGTTGGATCCAAAAGCACCTGATGCTGGATTATTATCTGATATAGAATTTTGGTTGGATTTATAATCAATTGCAAATGGATTATTACCAGTCTTAGAAGATTTCAATTCCTTAGGCGCAGAGTTAAGTGGTTGTTGTTGTTGTTGTTGTTGTTGGAAAGGTTGGGTTGGTTGTTGTTGACCTTGTAAAAATGGATTACCTGTTGGTTGCTGTTGAATTTGAGTAGCATTATTGAAATTACCGAATCCAGCACCGGTATGATTTGGAATTATACCAGTTGAAAAAGATTGTTGCAATCCATTTGGTTGAAATCCAGTTTGCTGTGATTGGAATGGTTGTTGTTGAGGTTGATGTTGTTGATTTCCCACAAAATTAAATGTCTGAGCTTGTTGAATTGGCTGGAATCCAGTTTGTTGAGGTTGAAATTGTTGTTGAAATTGTTGTTGATATTCTTGTGGAATTTGAGGAACTTGTGGAGCTTGATTTGTTGCTTGAGCTTGTAGGAATGGATTAGATGTATGCTGAGGTACTAAAGGTTGTTGTTGTTGTTGTTGTTGTTGTTGTTGTTGTTGTTGTTGAGGTTGCTGAGTATTAACTTGTTGTGGTTGAGATTGGTATCCATTCAAATTGACAGCTTGTAATCCCAGTTGAGAAGCCCATGGATTATATCCAGTAGCATTTGGTTGAACATTGGTTTGTTGTTGTTGTTGTTGTTGTTGTTGTTCATTTTGTGACTTATTATTAAATGGAATTTCTCTTTTGGCATCTGGATTCTTACCTTTAATTTCTCTTTCTGCAAGATATTGTTTTCTGTTAACTTCAAAATTACCGTCATTCAAATATTCTTCTAAACTATTAGCCAATGCAGTTGGGGCGTGTCTTATTGTTGGAACATGAAGTTTTGTTGCATACTCTAAATGTTTAGCTATTCTCAAATAATTAACGACATCTTTAGTCAATTCAACAAATTCCTTATATATAACCAATGCTCTGTCTGCATCATATTTTGACATTTCAAAATAATGTTCCAATATATTTATAACCCCTTCATTCAGAGTTTGATAAAGACATAATAAATCGTTAACCAACATTCTAAAACATGTCAAGACAATATCATTATTGATATCAGATTCATAAAATTTACAACGTACAAGCGCTGCAATCTGTCTTTCCACACTTTCCACTTCCCTTAATAAACCTTTATCTATTGATAAATTCCTTAGTCTACCACCTTCTTTTTTATTGATTTGTTCATCACGTACAAAATCTATTCCAACATTACCATATTGTTTAGATTTCACAGCAAGATATTTAGCATATCGAGTCAATTGTTTAGCATCACCAGAACCTATCTGCTTAATCTGGTTCAAGTCAAAAAAGTGTAAATGATTGGATAGATATTTCAACGTTATGTCCGCTTCACCTTCTCTAATCATGATATGAAGCACTAAAAGGGCCTTATAGACAATGGACCAAGCGGTATCACCTAGTCTATTTTGTAGAGCAGCAACAACCTGTCTGAATTCACTCTTGTCAGTAGTGGCCAGCAATATAGGCTCGATATATTTTGGCTTTGGGGCAGCCACCTAGAAGATATTCCGTTAGTACCATACCATTCTCATACTAGTTAAATTTTAATAGGGGGGCTATAAACCTTCCGCCATTTTCCCCAATTGACACTCACTTTGATCTTGGTGGCTCCCTGAAGCTGTTAGTATTTGTGCACACTAGTTTCCAATCTGCATTGGATACATACCTTTACGATTTTTTCGTACGTTGTCATCGATGTCCTGTCAGAAAGTTGATCAAAATAGTGGAAAAGAGCGTCGTTGTTATATTTTTGATTTTGGTTTTGGTGAGATTGGTTCGCGAAAATTGGAAGGAGGTTTTTTGGTGGATGTTGATATGCTAATACAAGTGCACTTGGATTTCCTATTAGGGAAGTCAATAATAGTGATGTTGATAAGAATCTGATTAAATCAGTAGAACTTCAATGAGAAACCGTAGCTGATAATTTGTCAAACCATTGGTAATCCTGCTCCATTTAGATTATCTCACCAGTGTTTTTAGTTTGGTATTCATTCACCGATACATTGATTCAATTGATGTCCGGATGTGTCGTTGCTGCTCTCCGGTTAAAATTTCATACAACCATTTTAGAAAACAATAGGCAAAATTACACTGGAGTGAAACCAACTTTATTGCAGTCGAAGGAAAGGGATAAGGGGGATTATCTTAGAGATACACACACAGTATGGTGAAAAGGCGGAAGACTGACACAGGGAAGGAGAGTGTCAAGAATGGCGGTGGTGTTGTGAAGGACGCTGCAGATCAAATCAATAGTACCACTCCAGAAGCTGGGGCAAGACCATCTTCTACAATCATTGGAATATCAAGATCTATTGCTGCTTGTCAAAGGTGTCGACAAAAGAAAACTAAATGTGATCAAAAATTCCCCAGTTGTGCTAAATGTGAAAAAGCTGGTGTTGAATGTGTTGGTTTAGATCCTGCTACTGGAAGACAAGTTCCAAGATCTTATGTGATTTATCTTGAAGATAAAGTTGCCAAATTAGAGGAAATGTTGATACAAAATGGTATAAACCCTGAACTGAAGCTTAGTAATGGTAGCGCTGGTGGCATTGGTGCTACCCCATCTTCCCAAGTACAAACACCTACACCTTCATATCAAATACCTTCCACAATAGATGACTCAAAAGATCAAGATTCTTCCATAAAATCAAGTTTAACATTAGCTGTTCCATCATCAACAAATGGTAATAGCGGCTCCTTTTATATTGGTGACTCTTCAGGGATCTCATTTGCTAAATTATTATTTACTGCTGTTAATTTCCAACCAAGTTCATCAATGAGTGAAACTGGTTCTATTACAACTAAGACACCATTTAAAGAATTTCCCGCTAAAAATGCAATTACTGGACTACCAATTAAACCAACAGCAGAATTTTTCATAAAAACTTTTTTCGAACAATCAAATACTCAATTACCTATAATCCATCGTGAATATTTTATAAATAATTATTATAAACCAATTTATGGAAATTTATCACCAAATGTTACATTGGCTTCAAATTATACTCAAATGAATTTAGATACTTCACCTATAGATGAAAAAGATACATGGTTTTATATTCAATCTTCGACAAATACACCAGATGAAATACCCAAAGTTTTCCAAAAACCATTGTTTTTCTTAAATTTAATATTTGCAATTGCTTCATCTGTTAATCTTTTACAATATAAAGCTGAAATATCAAATTCTTATAGAGTTGAAGCAATGAAATTTGTTGAGCCAATATATTCATCTGCTGATAGATTGGAATGCTTACAAGGATTATTATTATTAACACAATATTCCATAATGAGACCTTCTACTCCTGGTGTATGGTATGTATTGGGGACAACATTAAGACTTGTTGTTGATTTAGGATTACATACTGAAAGAATGAATAATCAATTTACACCATTTATTAAAGATATGAGAAGAAGATTATTTTGGTGTGCTTATTCATTAGATAGACAAATTTGTTTTTATTTGGGTCGTCCTTTTGGTATACCTGAGGAAAGCATATCTACAAAATTCCCAATTGAATTAGATGATTGTCTTATTAATCTTGAAGATATTAATGATTATGCCAAAGCATCAAATTCTTTACCAACTTATAAATTAATTTCATTAAATTTTTTCAAAATTAGAAGAATTCAATCAGAAATTTTACATGTTTTATATTTCCCCAATTCAGTTTTACCAAGATTTTATTCAAATTTAAATGAATGGAAATTAAATATTGATCAAAGATTAGAAGTTTGGTTCAAAACAATTCCATTGAAAACTTCAAGAAAGGCAAATTGTGACTTTAATTTTGAATTTTTTAGAATGAATTATAATCATACAAAATTATTATTATTTGGTATAACTCCAAAAAATGATAAATTAGATCAAAATTCAATTCATATAATATTTGAAGCATCTAAAAATATGATTTTATGTTATTGGGATTTTTATAAAACAAAATCAATTAATTATACATGGGCAACTGTTCATAATTTATTCTTTGCAAGTACATCATTTTTTTATTCAATATTTAATTCAAATAATTCATTAATTCAATTAATTCAATTTGAAAAAGTTGTTTCTCAAGTTAAAGAGATTTTAAACTCATTAGTGGAAAATTGTGATGCTGCAAAACCTTGTTCTGAAACTATTGATATATTATATTTAGCAATTAAAAAATTAAAATTTCAAAATGTTAATAATGAAATTACTTCACAACAATTTTATGATATTGATAGATTTTTCACTCAATTAAATAATCCACAAGAAAGTTCAATTTTTAAAGATTTCCAATATTCTTCAGTTTTCGATGATTCACAAGAAAATAGTATTAATCATACTAATCAACCAATACAAAATAATGGGAATGATATTAATGATGAACAATTTCAATTCTCACAAGTTGCAAATTCACAATTTCAACAACCACAAATGACTTATCAAAGTTTATCAACCCCTCCTTTGACATCAGCATTGGATGAATCATTTGTTCAAGCTGATAGAGAACAACAAAAGATTTTTGAAGTTATGTCAAAAGTTTCAATGGATACAATTTGGGATCAATTTTTAGGTAATGGAGGTTTTCAATAGGCGTTTTAAGATTTCTCTTTTTTTTTTTTTATTATTTATTTTCCTTTCCTTTCATTTCATTATATCTGTATTATATCTATTTGTTTAAAATGTTTAAATTTCTTTGTAATAAAATCAAATTATTTTGGTTTCAAATAGAATCTAAATTACTCATTTGTTTTAAAATAGTAATATTTTCATCATTAGATATTGCACTAGTGCCTGGGAACTTCACATCTAATAACATAACTTTATCACCATCGTATAACCCATAAACATCAACTAAAGTACCAATATATGTTACCTCTGGATTAGTTAAACTTCTATCTGGATCCAACTCTAAAATAACTGTGCCTGGAGTAATTATATTTTGGGTAAATAGATTTATTGATTGAATTGTTATTGAACCTTTCCTTGGGTTGAAATCCATCACAGTACCAAAAACCCTTACTTTAACAACATGGTTCTTCTTATGATACTTCTTAATGTCGTTCAAGTTTGTCACCAAATGCATTTCATCCATATAAAAGGTTGTGATTTAGTTCCTCTGCTCAGTGGGTACAATGTTTATGTCTCAATGTTTTGATTTCTCGGTGATCTATAAAAAAAAAACACTTGGAGATGAGCTTTTTTTTTACTAACCTAAAATGAAAAAATACTTGCCTAATATTATTATGCTTCAACGAAGATGGTTTAGCTCGTTCAAAGCTGGTGATGTTGCTCTCTTAAGGTCTATTGTACGTGCAGACAAGTTTTGGCTTACAAATCCATTGGTTTCAGGTGGGAAGACTAATGTGTTTGATGGTCATATTAAGCATGATGATATAGTGGGATTGAAATCAAGAAGTATTGTAAAGTCTAGTTCAGAAAAATCTTCATTTATAGTCACACAGGCTAGCACGGAGGATTATATTAATTTGAGTAAAAGAAGTGCACAACCAATATATCCTTATGATGCTGCTGCCATTGCCAATTTAGCAGATTTCCATTTTGATTATCCAGAATTAGATGAAGATAATAAACTAGTGGATTCACCAATACAATTATTAGAAGCTGGTACTGGACATGGTTCATTATCATTAGCATTATGCTCGAAAATTCACCCATTAAACTGTTTCAATAAGAAATTTGGTGCAAGAGGTGGTATATTACATACTATAGATCATAATAAATTACATTCAGAAAGAGGTCAACTTACTATAAGGAATTTTAGACGTGGTATTTATGAGGATAATGTTGAATATCATGTAGCAAATTCACCAAGTGAATGGTTACAAAATGAAGCAGAATCTTGGAGATCATTAGAAAAAATCAATTCAAATGAAGATCAATATGATGGATTTTTAAGTGGTGCATTTTTAGATATGCCAAATTTCCATTTAGAAGTTGAACAAATTGCTAAAGATTTAAAACAAGATGCTCCATTGATAGTTTTCTGTCCTTCAGTTACACAAATATTAGATTTATTAAACGTAATTAGACAAAGTCAAGGTGATATTAAATTAACACATACACAAACCATTCAATTAACTCCAGGTATGGGAGGTGGATTACAAGATTGGGAAGTTCGTTATACCAATATTAGAGTTAGTGGAGAAGTTGGTGTTATTTGTAGACCAAAAGTTGGTACAAAAGTTGTTGGTGGTGGATTTATTGGTATTTTTAAAAAACTTTCAAATAATGCAAATATTAAACCAAAATATTACAATCAACAAGAAGAATCAAATATTAAAACCCAATATTGAAAAACTTTTATTTTCCATTAAAAAATTTACTGTACATATGTAATATATATAATCTATATATTTTGAAACCAAAAATAATAAAAAAAGGAATAGACTTGAAAATAATTTTGTAAGTTGTATAATTAATATGAAATGCAATTAATAAAATGACATGATAATCTAAAATACACGTTTTGAACGTTTCTTGTTTTTCAACAAGACTTTTTGTTTAACAGCTTCATCTTCAGATTCAGATTCTTCTTCAGATTCAATATCCATTTCACTTTCATCTTCATCTTGTTCTTCATCTTCAACATCTTCATCTTCATCTTGTTGAGCAGCAGCTTCTCTAGCTTCTTGTTTAGCTAATTTTCTTGCAATTTCAACTTCTCTCATCTTCAATAATTCTGGATTACTTTCAACTAATTTCTTATCTAATTCTAATTGTCTTTCTTTATTACCCTTCATTCTATTCTTATAGAATGCTCTTTCACGTTTTTGTCTAATTTCTTCCACTCTAGCCATAGCTTTCAAAGTTGTGGAGACCAAATCTCTATTATAACGTACTGGAACGTTTCTTCTAGCACTGAATGTTAAAGTAGAATCAACAGCCAATTCTTTACCAGCAGCTTTTCTAAATGCTTTAGTCCATTTTAATTTTCTTGGGTTACGACGTTGTTTAAATGCTTTATGACATTTGGAACGACAGAATCTAAACTCTTTAGCGTCATTACGCACAAACATGATCCCATGACCGGGATACACTGGGGAAGAGCAAAAATGACATGAATAAACTCTCATTATTTAAAGGTGGAACTGCTTTAATTCTATTAAAAAGCTCACAAGATCAAAAAAGCTCAGTCTGATAAACTTTTCTATATAATAAAAATTTTAAATTTTTTTTTTAAATTTCTTTTCGCGAAGCTCATCGGATGAGCAGTGTCAGCATAACCATTTCCTTTTTGGGTGGACTGCCTATTTGGGAATATTTTGGGGAAATCTCGAAAAAAGTCACCGATTTTTTCAATGAAAATTGATTAAAGACATGAAGATATTCAGATATATTCATACTCACAGATACTCAGAGATAGATATATAGATATATTATATCAAGTTCATAATGGCTCCTCAATCCATCGATATCCCAGTGCTGCCTATTCCAGGTGAACAACCTCAACCACCACAACAAATCACTTTTGAACAACACCAACAACCAAATCAACAAGAACAATTACAACAACCACAACAACCACAAAATGCCAAACCAGGTTCTATAGATTATTATTTCGATCAAACTTTAACCACCATGGGTAATCATCCAATATTGACCGGTGTTGGTGGGTTCTTCTTAGCATATTTTATTGCTGGTCGTTTCAAATCAAGTCAACCAGGTATAGATGGTAAAGCTTTTTATAAAGGTGGATTTGGTCCTAAAATGAGTGCAAAAGAAGCTTTACAAATCTTAAATTTAAAAGAAACCACATTAACAAAGAAAAAATTAAAAGAAACCCATAGAAGAATTATGTTGGCTAATCATCCAGATAAAGGTGGTAGTCCATTTGTTGCAACAAAAATTAATGAAGCTAAAGATTTCTTAGAAAAAAGAGGTATTCAAAAATAGATTGTATAAATATCATAATTCATGTACATAGTATGAAATCATTATATTACCAATCATAAATATATATTGTAAGCTATGGAAATTATTTTGCCACAATGGAAACAACATCTTCATCATCAACTAAATGTGTTAACCCACATTTTTGTGGATTATGTTTAGTTGAAGACCCCCAAACTAATGCATATTTAAAATGATCTTTAAAATCTTTATGAATTGAATTACAAATATCTTCAATTGTACTTTTACTTCTAACAACTAATGGATCACTAAAATTCACTGCAATACCTCTTCTTTTAGTATAAACTTTTAATAAATCTAATTGATACCATATTTCTTCAACAACATCTTCAACACCAAGTCCCATCTCACAACTCATAACAACCGTGTTTGGTTCTCTAGCAATTCTATCAGTTTCCTCTAATGAAACTGCATCAATCTTATTATAAACATAAAGACAATTAATATAACTTCTATGAGAATCATTAATAATATCTATGAAATCTTCAATTGTAACATTTTCATCTCTAATAAGAACATCAGCATTATGAATTCTATAATCTCTTAAAATACCTTGAACAATTTTTTCATCAAGATTTTTTGGTGGTGTTGTAAAACTTAATTTAACACCTCCAGAACTTTTAGTTTTGAAATGAATATTTGGTTTTGGTTTATTTAATCTAATACCAACAGCTTCTAATTCTCTTTCTAAAATACCTCTTTGTTCTGCAGATTTTGTAGCATCTAAAACCATAACAATTAAATCACTTGTTTTAGCAGTTGCAACAACTTGACGACCACGACCTTTACCTTCAGAAGCACCACTAATAATACCTGGTAAATCCACAATTTGAATTTCAGCACCTTGATACTCCAAAACACCTGGAACTGAAGTTAAAGTTGTGAAAGCATAATGTGCAATTTCTGCTTTTGTTTTGGTAACTTTTGATAAAAATGATGATTTACCAACAGATGGGAACCCAATTAATACTACTCTAGCATCACCTGATTTTTGCACTTCAAAACCTTGACCTGGTGATGAAGAAGAACCTGGAGGTGGTTCTAATAATTGTTGACGATATCTTGCTAATTTACCCTTTAATAAACCAATATGATATTCAGTAGCTTTGTTCTTTTGGGTACGAGATAATTCCTCTTTAATTTGTTCAATTTTTTCCCTATTTTTTCTGTTAGTATGTCAATTTAGTAATCCAACATTGTATAGATCACATACACAATCCCCATTTTAACACTATTCTCTTATATTTCCAATCTCTAATACTACAAAATAACTGTTCTTATAGAAATAAAAATTCAATACTTCAAAAAAAAAAGACCGAGATCGAGATTCAAAAATACCAGAAAATATCCCGATCAGGAAATATACTTCATTGAGTCAAAGCATAATAATAACTGAAATATTCCTGGTATTAACCCTTTACAAAGAACTTCATCAGAGCAATTACACAACTTCAAACAGATGGAGATGGACCTAGAGCTAAGATGACTGGGAATTATGAGAAGTTGTTTTCTAATGGTAGGGAATGGCTCAAGGATATATGTGCCAATTTAAAAGAGATACTTCCACGCCCATTCACAGATAGCTCTTTCCATGATTTGGCAAGAAAACGAATTGCAATTTCTAATGAAATCCCAGTAGATGATCCATCCAATTATCACTTGAATCCATATAATGATCATGAATTTCAGAATAGTGAGTTAAACATTTTATTGATTATTATTTGATCTCCGAATACTAATGAGTTGCAATATTCAGAAATTAGAACAATATTCAAATTTTTCTTCATTCCATCTCTTCTTAATGTCAAGGAAGAAACACTACAGAGTTATATGGAAATTCAAGAAGAAAAGCTCAATGGGAATTGGTATCAAAAAAAACTTTACAAGATTGCATTTATCATTCCAGAGTTAGTTGATATATGTGGGGTTGATGGTGATTTAAATGGTAATTTTACCACTCCAGATACTTTTGTTCAACATGAGCTCCACGACTTGAATTTTGAACAAGTTGATGATATTTCAAAGAGTGAACTTGAAAGCAATGCAGTAGCTTTAGAACAATTTGTTGAGGAAACTTTAGCAACTGCAGAAGGTCGAGGTAAGCTTTTCGACATAAACAATGATTTGTTTTCTGCTATTGGTAGATCCCATGGGGATAGTATATCAGCTAGATCCTTACAATATGAATGTGTGGGTCAATCAAAGATTTCGTCTTCACTAAAGATTATAACTGTTTTTTTCTCAGAGCTAATGCAAATACGTGGGATTCCACAATACTTGAGCACCAATATTGCACCAATGAACTTAACCACCGAAGATATTTCCAAACTTTTTGGTATACAATTTAAGCTGCAAGACAATACAAAAATGTCGCTGGGTAATATCATGGAGGATTTAGGGATAGTGATAAAAAACCAACATGATACAGAAGACTTGCCAACTTCCATTCTTTCATTAGAATCTAGGGACCAACGCTTGGGCAAATTTATAAGACCAGATAAATTTCCTGCGAATGAGCTTTCATCTATTTTGAAAAAAATTATGATTTGTACTCTGTTGAGAGGGAATTCTTCATTCATTCTAAGTGATTATGTCACAACTAGGCTCTGCTTATTGCCTATTCATGAAAAAAACAAAGATCTCTGGTTAAATAAAGGAAAATGGATCACGTTGAAAGCACCTGTGAAATCACATTTTATTGACAGTACAACCCCATTTGATAAAGAACAATTATCTTTGTGTGGTCTATTTGCTCTTGTTACGTTTGATGGAATTTTCCAAAAGTTTGGTTTATTAAATTTGGACGAATATTCAAATTATTTGAAACTTAATGAAGCAAAGAAAATGAATGAACAAAATCAAGATTGGATGCATTTTTTCAGAGAATTCTTGTTGAATTCTATGGTAGAAGAAACCGAGTACCTACCTTCTTTATCGTCACATTCCGCTAGTGAAGAGCCTGAGAGTATTAATGATTCAACTAATATAGATTCTGAGAGTCTGAGTGGTCTCAAAAGGCCAAGTACTGAGAAAATATCAGAAACTTTACCCAAAAAAACTAGAATTGCAAGATCCACAAAAGAATCAAACAACCATTCACATTATTCAAATTCGTGGTTTGTTGATCTTAAAGATTCGTTCCGCTTCAAAGGTTTAGATGATAGTTTGATTATTCCAAATATGTCTACTTACGCATGTGTGAAATTTGTTCTACCTCAAAATATGTTTTTAAGATTATTAGACAACAAATTGCAATCCAAAAGAGATGCAAATAAGATTTCAAAGCAAATCATCCAGCAAGGAACAGAAAAGATTTTTTGGAAGTTTTATGATTTACAAGGTAATATTGCACGATTGAAAATATATGGACACAATTATTTTGGTGATTATGTTGCCACAGGTCTTTCAGAAGCTGATAGATATACTCTTGGGAATATTGAAGATTTCGATTCTCTGGAATCAATTAATGAAATTGCAAAAGCTGATTATGATAATGAAGTGGAAACATTGAGAGGTATTTATCGTTATAATGCAACTCTTAAAAATAATGAAAAGGATTTCATCATAAATACTACCCAGGCTTATTGTCATGGAGAAGTCTTAGCTAATACAATGGAAGGTAGAATTTATCAAGGTTATCATATCGCTTACAATTATATTGATTTTGCTGCTAACAAGCCTAAAACTAAATCTCAATTTAAATCATGGAAAACCCAAATTGATAATCTACACAAGGCAGGTTTCCATCATGGTGATATTCATCCTAGAAATGTTGCTTGTAGAGATGATGGAGAAGTGTTTATTTATGATTTTGGGAGATCCGAACAGATTTCAGAAATGGAAGGTTATTGGAAACAAAAGTGTCTCAACAAAACTTGCACTGATTACATAGAGCTTGAAGAACACCGAAAAGCAGTTCTAGGAAAATAACTTGAGCACCACCTATATCACTACCTATAATACACGAATCTCTATATTATAAATTTATGAAACCATTGTATTTTTGAAAGTAATATACTTGATCTCGGAACTCATTTTAAATTCCGACTTTTGTTGTCGAGAAAATTGAAAACGCGAAAAAAAAAAAACATTGGAAAAAAAATGCTTTTGAGATCGAACGTATACAAAATAATATTGGAAGGCGAATCAATTGACAATTGATTGATCATCTAAAGATACCCAACTTTTTTATTATCATAACACAATGCAAGCTCCTGTTGTGTTTATGAATACCTCTGCTGACAGACAGACTGGTCGTCAAGCTCAAATTTCAAACATCACAGCTGCCAAAGCTGTGTCAGATATCATTAGAACATGTTTAGGTCCAAAAGCCATGTTGAAAATGTTATTAGATCCTATGGGTGGTATTGTTTTAACTAATGATGGTCATGCTATCTTAAGAGAAATTGATGTTGCTCATCCAGCTGCTAAATCCATGATTGAATTGAGTAGAACTCAAGATGAAGAAGTTGGTGATGGTACAACAACTGTTATAATATTAGCTGGTGAAATTCTTGCACAAACATTCCCATATATTGAAAAAAATATTCATCCAGTCATTATAATTCAAGCTTTAAAACAAGCATTAAGTGATGCTTTAGAAATAATTCATCAAGTTTCAAGACCAATTGATATTGAAAATGAAAATGCAATGATTAAATTAATTAGTGCATCAATTGGTACAAAATATGTTAATAAATGGTCAGATTTAATGTGTTCATTAGCTTTAAAAGCTGTTAAAACTGTTTTAATTGATGATGGATTTGGTCATAAAGAAATTGATACAAAAAGATATGTTCGTATTGAAAAAATTCCAGGTGGTGAAATTGAAGATAGTGAAGTTTTACAAGGTGTTTTATTAAATAAAGATGTTACACATCCAAAAATGAGAAGATATATAGAAAATCCAAGAATTATTTTATTAGATTGTCCATTAGAATATAAAAAAGGTGAATCACAAACAAATATTGAAATTACAAAAGAAGAAGATTGGAGTAGAATTTTAGAAATTGAAGAAGAACAAGTTAAACAATTATGTGAAACTTTATTACAATTTAAACCAGATTTAGTTTTAACAGAAAAGGGTGTTTCAGATTTAGCTCAACATTATTTATTAAAAGGTGGTGTTACAGCATTAAGAAGAGTTAAAAAATCAGATAATAATCGTATTTCAAGAGCAACTGGTGCAACAATTGTTAATAGAATTGAAGATTTACGTGAAAGTGATGTTGGTAATAAATGTGGATTATTTAAAGTTGAACAAATTGGTGATGAATATTTTTCATATTTAACAAATTGTGAAAAACCACAAGCTTGTACAGTTGTATTAAGAGGTCCATCAAAAGATATTTTAAATGAAATTGATAGAAATTTACAAGATGCTATGGCTGTTACACGTAATGTTATATTTGAACCAAGTTTATCACCAGGTGGAGGTGCAACAGAAATGGCAGTTTCAGTTAAATTAAGTGAAAAGGCTAAAACTATTGAAGGTATTCAACAATGGCCTTATCAAGCAGTTGCAGATGCATTTGAAGTTATTCCAAGAACTTTAATTCAAAATGCAGGTGGTAATCCAATTCGTTTATTATCACAATTAAGAGCTAAACATGCTAAAGGTGATTATACATTTGGTATTGATGGTGAACATGGTAAAATTGTTGATATGAATTCATATGGTATTTGGGAACCAGAAGTTATTAAACAACAAAGTATTAAAACTGCTATTGAAAGTGCTTGTTTATTATTAAGAGTTGATGATATTGTTAGTGGTGTTCGTAAATAAGAGTGTTGAAGGGATGAACTACATAGAATAATGTTAAATGTGTATAGTGGTAAAATAACATTTTATTCTTCCATTACTTGATCTTCACCTTCACCTTCTTCCTCATCCTCAGCTTGTTGTGGGAAATGTGTTTGAATAATTTGTAAAATTTCTTCAATTTCTTGTTCATTAAATCTTTGATCACATTCTTCTATTACAGCATATAAAGTAACTAAAGATTGTGGAGCTGAATTAATAATTTGTAATTTTTCAATTTTTTCTAATTTAAATTTTGATAAATCTTTCATCATTTGAGTTATATTTTCAATATTTTGTTGAGGTACAGGACCAATATTTTCAAAATAAAAAGTTGTTTGCTTTGTTACTTCTTCTAAATTTGGATTAAAAGCTCTTTTTTTCTTGTTTGTATTATTATTATTTAACCATTGATTTTTTGATTGAATCTCTATTAGATGTTGATTTACTTCAAAATTTGATAATAATTTTTCTCTCTCTATTTCAACCTATGATGGGGTGTTAATATGTAATGATTGTACATTCATCAATGATTCCCACATACCTTCATTTTGTCACTGTGTATACTCTTTGATAGAACAACTATAGACCAACCATATCATGAACCATAATATCATGAACCATAAATATCACGTATAGTATAAAAAAATATTTTCGCGAGTGAGCAGTGTCATCATAACCATTTCCTTTTTGGGAGAATGTATTTTATTACATAATCACTGGTGATAATATTACCTAATCTGGTTGATGACATAATATCTGTCGCATTCTTAGTCATCAAAATATTTAATTTATACCCACGTGGAGCAGAGTGCAGCCATTTTAATTTAATTTAGAAGATCAATTTGCAATCAAATTCAATTAGTTGTTGGTTGGAACTTCAAAGCAGTAAAGCAGCCATTGTGAATATTGAAAAGTGTTGAAAGTATTTGAATTCTAACTTGTTCTTGTTTGTACACTTGCTAAACATTGGCTAAACAATATTGCTACATAACCACTCAAGCAAGCTATACAATGAAGTTTGGTGAACATTTGAAAAGTTCTCTTATTAGAGATTACAATTTCTATTATATTAGTTATGATGATTTGAAGAAAGAGTTGAAAAATGGGTTAAAATCAAATGGGAACAATTGGTCAACCGCTTTAGAAGAAAATTTTCTATCAAGTCTTGAAGCTGAATTAGATAAAGTTTATACATTCCAAAAAGTTAAAGGTGCTGAAATTTCAAGAAGAATTAAAGATTCTGAATTAAATGTTAAAGAAGTTATTGATTTAATTGATTCTGAAACTCCTCCTTTAGAACAAGATTTTGAAGATTTAGAAGAAGAATTAAGTGATGTTATTGCTGATGTTCATGATTTAGCTAAATTTACAAGATTAAATTATACTGGATTTCAAAAAATTATTAAAAAACATGATAAACAAACTGGTTGGAATTTAAAACCAATTTTCCATGTTAGATTAGATGCTAAACCTTTTTTCAAAGAAAATTATGATTCAATGGTTGTTAAAATTTCCACATTATATGATTTGGTTAGAACAAGAGGTAATCCTGTTAAAGGTGATTCTGCCGCTGGTGGTGGCCAACAAAATTTTGTTCGTCAAACTACAAAATATTGGGTTCATCCTGATAATATTACTGAATTAAAATTAATAATTTTGAAACATTTACCTGTCTTGGTTTTCAATACTAATAAAGAATTTGAAAAAGAAGATTCTGCAATTACATCTATTTATTATGATAATAAGAATTTAGATTTATACTATGGTAGATTAAGAAAAGATGAAGGTGCTGAAGCTCATAGATTAAGATGGTATGGTGGTATGTCATCTGATACTATTTTCGTTGAAAGAAAAACTCATAGAGAAGATTGGACTGGTGAAAAATCTGTCAAGGCAAGATTCCCCTTGAAGGAAAAACATGTTAATTCATTTATGAAAGGTGAATTTACTGTACCACAAGCTTTTGAAAAAATGAGAAAAGATGGTAAAAAATCAATAAAAGAAATTGAAAATTTAGAAGCTTTAGCAATGGAAACTCAATATACTGTATTAAAAGATAAATTAAGACCTGTTGTTAGATCTTTTTATAATAGAACTGCTTTCCAATTACCAGGTGATGCAAGAGTTCGTATCTCTTTAGATACTGAATTAACAATGGTTAGAGAAGATGATTTTGATGGTATTGATAGAACAAATGGTAATTGGAGAAGAATGGATATTGGTGTTGATTGGCCTTTTAATCAATTACCTCCAAAAGATGTTGAAAGATTCCCATATGCAGTTTTAGAAGTTAAATTACAAACTCAATTAGGTCAAGAACCTCCTGAATGGGTTAGAAATTTAATTTCTTCACATTTAGTTGAAGCTGTACCAAAATTTTCAAAATTTATTCATGGTGTTGCTACTTTATTACCACAAAGAATTGATTTAATTCCATTTTGGTTACCACAAATGAATGTTGATATTAGAAAACCAATGTTACCAAATGAAATTGGTATTTATAGAAATAATAATCATTCAAATACAAATACTTCAAGTGGTGAATATATGGATGAAGAAGAATTAATTGGTAATAATACTCAATTTGGTTCAATTGAACAAGTTGATAATCAATTACAACAAGCAAATGATTCTAATAATGAAAATGCACCATTATTAATAAGTAATGGTCAATCACAACATCAACAATCATCATTATCAAGATCACATAAATTACCAATTTTACAACCAATTATAGATAAATTTAATTATTGGTTTACAGATGAAAATACTTATAAAGTTTCAAGAGATACTGTATTTGAATCAAAATTTGCTGCACCAGCTGGTAAAAAAATTTGTGTTCCAGTTAGAGTTGAACCAAAAGTTTATTTTGCAACTGAAAGAACATTTTTAAGTTGGATTTCAATTGCTTTAATTTTAAGTGCAACTACAACAAGTTTATTAACTTATGGTGATAAAGTTTCATTAGCTGCTTCAGTTGGATTTTTCATTACAACTGTTTTAACAATCTTATATTCAGCATCTATTTATATATGGAGAGTCATTAACATTAGATCTAAAGTTGTTGCTAATTATGATGATAGATATGGACCAACTGGTATTTGTGTATGTCTTGCTCTATCTGTTTTTGCAACCTTTTTATTTAGAGTGCTGTGATTTGATCCAGAACAACAAAATGTAAAAAAAAAGCATAACCTGTACAATATTACCATCAAAACAACATTTCAATAGAAATACATTTTTAATATAATATAATATAATTTAATTTTAATACAATCATTGACGTTGATTAGTTTATTGTAGACCTATGATCTCATTACAAATCTCGTGTATTCATGCTTTTTTCTATCTGTGTACCGGAGATACATGAAAAAAAAATTTGGGACAAAAAGAATTATATGATAAGTCACTTGACACAAAAACTAGTTGTGTTAATTCAAAGACACAAACTAGTACGTGCACAATTTCAACAATTATGTTTTGTAATTTGAATTTGAATTTGAATTTGAATTTGAATTTGAATTTGAATTTGAATCTCAACTTTTATCGTGTGTTTGGCTGATTGGAGGCAAATTCTTATGGTTTGGGACTTTTAAAAGGAATTCACTTTACACTCGTTTTCATATTCATCAACTCAAGATTATATTATTATGAAGGATACTGATCAAGATTTTATTACTAATGATGTCCATTATAAATCATCCAAGAAAGTTCCTGTTGTCACTATTGATTCAAGTCCTAATCCATTCATAGGTAACGTTTCTGCTGTTGATCAAAATAATGGTATTAATCAAAATACAAGTCAAATATCTCAAAATCAATCAACTGCTGCTATGATTTCAAATCAATACCAAGATATTTATGGTGAAAGTCCAACTCTGAAAATTTATTTACCTGGTAATGGTCAAAATCAAAGAGCTTCTTTACCTTTTAATCAAATTTATGGTTCAAATTATTATAATCAAACTTCAACTCCAATACATTTCAATACAGATCCAATTGATTATCAACAAAATGGGAACTCATTATTATCTCCACTAAATAATAATAATAAATCAAATATCAAGATGATTCCTCAAAGTTTCATTGATTTTAAAAATTCACAATCTATTTATAATCTGAGAAATCCAAATATTGCTTCACCTGGTGCACCACATCCACCAGTACCTCCACCTTATCATCAACCACAACCACAATATTTACCTCCACAAGATCTTTATATTCAACAAAATGAATTTCCTTCAACATTTCAACCAAGATGTGCTCCAAATATGCCTCATAAGGAAAAAGTTAATGATTGGATTAGAAGAGTTCCAGTTTATTTTGTACCAAATACTTCATACACTATAGAAGGTGGTCAATTACAAACAGGTTGGTATAATGAATGCTATCCAGGTGTTGTTACTGCTTCAAGTGCAAACTATTCAGAAGATGATGATGAATTACTCGATGAATTAGATGAAGAATTAGAAATTGATCATGCTTTTCAAACATCTTTTGTTTATAATAACTCAGCAAATGTAAATAATAAAGCTAATCAACACCAAAGTCATCGTTACCATCCTTCACTTTATAATATTGGTCCATCTGGTTATAATGGTGTTAATTTTGATCATCCAGATGAATTATATGTTGATCATGAAGATGTTCTGGAATTTCAAGCTAGGAAAATCACTAAATATGTTAAGAAGTTATATCAACAAGATCCAACTGAATCAATTGTTAGAGGTCAAAGTCCAACAAAGCAGAATATTTTACTTGATGGATTTGATAAAAGTAATTTAAGTCAATTATTAGAAGGAACTGAGACAAATCCAGTGGAAATTACAAATACTAGTTATAATTTAAATTTAACAGAAGCTATTGAAAATATAAATTCTAAAAGAATTGATGAAGATATTGATTTAATAATTAATAATGCTGATAAAGAATTTGAAACAAATCCTAATTCACCATATTCAAAACCTACAAAGGGACAAATTCCAGTTAATTCACCAATTTTAACAAAGAGAAAGAAATGAACAAACCCCAAAATAGCTATGACTCTAATATATTAATAATATTTTTTATAAATTCAATAAATCAATGAAATAAATGAAATAATTTGCTTTAATTTTAAAATTAAAATAGTTTATAGTAGCAGTCCCGAAATGGGTATTTACCCGATTTGGACATTTCCCGATATTTAAATTTTTATATGTCAAATTTTGAAATATTGTACACACTGAAAAATTGAAATCGAGATTTTTTTGGGTATTAAACATTTTGACTGATAACTTAATATTAAATCAATTTTCAATTGTTAAAATGTCTGGTGTTAGTCAAAGTTCCACAGTTTTATTAAATCGTTTATTCACATTAAAAGAAAGTTCACCTTTATTATTAGTTACAGATACAATAGCACAATCTTCATATTATTTAATTAAAGAATTTATTCATAATGTACCAAAAGATACAAATATAGTTTATATATCATTTGAAACAATTCATAAACCAAAATATGCCAATGTTTTCATTGAAGCTTATGAAATGTCATCTAAAGCTTTGATTGAACAAATTAATTCTACTTATGAATCCAATGTTAAAAATTTAATAATTATTGATTCAATTAATTTTATAAATAATGAAATTTTATCACAATTTTTAACTTCAATTATAAAACCAAATTTAACTGTGTTAGCTACATATCATACATCATTACCAGAATTAGAAACTAGTGTTAAATATCCAAATTATCCATCAAGTTATAAGATTTTATCATTTATTGCATCATCAATATTTGAAATAATACCAAATTCAAAAGAATTTGATGAAGAAGAATTAGAATTAAATTTAAATAAATTAAACATTGTTAAAGGTTTAAATAATTCAATTTTCCAAATAAATTTAATTAATCGTCGTAAATCAGGTCGTTCAATAAATTATAAATTTGAAATAAATACAATGAATCATAATTATAATTTAATTTTACCTGATCAATCATTAGATTCAGGAAATTCCATGGATACCCAGGATTTATTAAAAGGTTTAACTACGTTTAATTTAACAACAAGTGATAAACAAAAATTAGCAAAAGATCAAGTTGAATTACCATTTCTTGATGCTCAATCATTTAATAATGGTGGTGCAATTGTTTATGAGTTTGAAAAAGATGATGATTATGATGAAGAAGATCCTTATGAAGATCCATTTTAATCATGTACATTGTGATATAAACCATAAATTCAACATTTTTTAATTGCTTTATATATTTATATATAGTGTACAAATGTATGTGTGTCTTTGATGTCATTACCAAAGTTCTTCAATATCATTCCAATCATGATTTTTTCTTTTATTCCAATAACTTTGATCACCTTTAATTAATTCATAATTTAATTCATCATCACCAATTTTTTTAAACCAATTAGGTTTATGTATTTGATTTTTTTCAACTAATTCTTGTCTTTTATCTCTTTGTCTTTGTTCAATTTGTAATTTTAAAGTTTCAGCTTTATTGAAATCACCAGATTCATATGATTTAACATCAGGTCTAAATCTTGAATCAGTTTTTGGTATAAAACCATCTTCAATTGATGTGATTTGATTTAAATTTGATGTAAATTTTGTAAAACCATATTTTAATTCATAATTTTTAATTAATTCAGATGCAGACCATATTATTTGAGAAGATTTATTTTGATCATTTATAAGTGATAATGATTCTGTCCATTTCCCCAAGACATGATGATTAGATCCATTACCAATAACTTTAATTATTAATTCTTCAGATTTTGCTTGATTGAAAAATCCACCTGTTGGTTTTTTAAATTCCACAATAGCCTTAAGACCAACTGATGAAGAAATTGTAACAGAATTTATTGGTTCTGTATATTTTTCACCAGCCATTATATTTTTTAACATTGTATTTGGTTGATGCCATTTATAAATTTCTCCCGAGTTTTTAAATCTTAAAGTAACAATACCTTTATTTATTAATTCCATTGATTTCCCCCAATATTTTTGTTCGGGATTTAAACAAAATGAAATCTCCCAATTTAAAGATTCACAATTAATTGCAAAAATTTGAGGTTTATGATTAATTTTTTCTGCAATAAATCTATAACCTAAATCTTCTCTAATTAATTCAAAAGTTTCACCCAAGATTGGATTAAAAGGTTTTCTTAAATTTCTTTCTTTAACTCTTGAACTACTTAAGTTTGATATAGCAAAAGTTGCAATTTTTAAAATTTTGACGTCAGGTTGTGATTCAAGGGAAGCCTGGTCTAATAATTGAGTAAATTCAAATGATTCTGCAATTTTTTGTAATATAGTTATAGGTTCATTTGAAGTAACAGGCATTGAAATTGATGATAAATCTTTACCAACGTTTTTCCTTAAAAATGTAAATAAACTTTGTGGTGAAGTATTTGAATTTGGTATATCATTTCTTCTTTTAATAGTTTCATTTATTGGTAATGGAGTTAAATCATCATTATCATCATTCAAATCAAGGGTTTTAGAAGTTTCTAATTCAGTTGTTAGTGAAACATTTGATGATGAAGAACTTGATGCATCATCAACTTGGAAACTTGGATTTCTTAAAGATTTTAATTTTGAATTTCTATTGTTATTGGAAGCTGGTAATAAGATGACATGATTATCAATATCATCATCATCTAAATCATCAAATTCATAATCATAATCTAAATTATCATCAATTGTAATATTATTATCATGATTTATATTAAAATTTTTAAAATCTTGAGCATCAAAGAATTCTTGACTGAAAATTGAAGTTCCAGTTGGACTTAATTCTTTTGCAAATGGTTGTGCTTTTTGATCATTGGATTTATTCTGTGATAATAGAGATTTAACGTATAATGATAATTCATTTAATTGTAGTTTAGTGGTTTGTATTTCATTTTCATTTAAATTATTTGAAATTTTATCAATTTGTAAATCAATTGATTCTAATGGATTTAAATGTGGATCATGTGATTCAATTGGTGTTAATTTTTTAATATTTTGACTACTTATACCAGTATTTGGACCAGTACTAACATTACTATTAAATTTTATAAAATTTAAAGCATTTGTCCAATTATCCCAATCTTCTTTATTTAAAGTTTTCAAAGTCCAAATTTCCATCCCTGAATCAATAATAAATGTATTTTCATCTTTAAATGCAGAAATTGTAGATAAATTAACTGGCATTTCACCTCTAGTTTTCAAAGAAGATTCATTTATATAATAACTTAAAGTATTATATTTAAAATTTAATATAAAGAATCTTTTGGTAAAACCTTGTAATTTTTTTCTCTTCTTCTTGAGGAGATAACCTTGTAAATATTGACCCTTTTTAGGATGTAATTGACCAGGATTTGGTAAATTTATTGAAGATGATGAAGAAGTTAAAGTTGGTCTTCTTGATGATATACCATTATCTGATTCAATAAAGAATTTATTGAATAAAACTTTCTTGGAATAACTTTTAGCAAATGTATTATCAAATATAAAAGCAAACATACCACCTTTCTCAACTTTAATTTCATTTTTAAATAATTGATTACCATTTAAAGTACCATAAGAATTAAATTTTAACATTGAAGATTGTTTTAATTTCTCTTCTAAAGATAATACTGAATTTGATCTTTTCCTGTTTAATGAAGTGGATGAACTATTATTTGATTCATCAATTATGCCACTAGGACCATGTTGATGATCATCCACTGGTTTTAAATGAGGTGAATTTTGATTTGAAGCATAAGTTTCTGAAGTTAATGATCTATAAATACTAAAATTGATTGATCTTTTGATTGGTTTCAATTGGAAAATCACAGTGGAATGATCCGGTATCTGAATCCACTTTACGACGAAGGACTTGGAATGGACGTCGATGGTTTCCATTGTGTTGTGGTGATAGTAGTCTAGTTCCAATGCTTTGTTGTTGATTTGTTCATGTTGATGATTTGACACGCTCCTAATTCAAAACATGGGAATTCGCGAAATCATGGAATGAACAAAAAAAATCAACAACTTGATAATTTGTACCAGTAAACCATCAACAATTGAAAACAATGTATCCTTTTGATCTATGAATACACCTTCTAGTTTAAAGCCATCCATGAGTTGTGGTTCTAATATGTGAAATTCAATATTTAGTGTGGGACTATAATTATCAATCGTTGGCTGGTTCCTCATAGCCTCTTACTACCAGTCTGCTCTTAATGTGTTATTTGACTTCTTAGTTATGATCCATTTGGTTATATATTGACTAGACACTTGAGTACTAGTATCAATACACATCACATCCTCTTACCCATTGTTCCATACGACAGTGAAGAACATCGTTGAGCATTGGTTGTTGATGAGGGTGGTATTTATGATTTTGAATTGAATGTTTGTAGTGTGTGTATACTTCTATGAGTAATGGTTATACATCAGTTTACTAGTATGTTCATACATTCATTGTTAATTCAATCACTTTATTTCATAACTCTGATCGTCATTATTCATATCTCATGGTCTTATGGTGATATTACTAGCTTCAAGCCCGTTTACTATCCTACTATAAGCTTCAAAGAGTGGGTTTACCGAGTATTAATTTATAAGAACGACATTTGAACATTTCAAGCAACATCAATGTCTAATAAGATAGAACTACAGATAAGATGGCTGTGAATTTTGAGAACTTGTTCAGTGATGATAGGGAATGGCTACAAGATATATGTGACAATCTAAAAGAGATACTCCCACTCCCATTCACAGATAGCTCATTCCATGATTTGGCAAGAAAACGAAATATTGTGATTCCAAAAGATTCTGATGAAATTCTCAGAGATGGTCCTTCAAATTACTATCACTTGAACCCTTATGATGATGATGACTTCTGCAAAAGTGAGTTTTACTTGTTGTCGAAATCTGATTTTCAAATACTAATTACTTACAACAATTAGAAATAAAGACAATTTATGAGTTTTTCTTCGATACATCAAGTCTTGAAGACACATTACAGAGTTATATGGAAATAGAAGGATATCAGGGGAAATGGTATCAAAAAAAGATATATAAAATTGGATTAATTATTCCAGATTTAGCTGATTTATCTGCTGTTGATGGTGAATATTTACAAGGCAATTTTACTGTTCTTCCAACTATTGTCCAGCAACAATTATACAATCTAAAATTCGAATCTATTGAAAATTTGGTCAAGAAAGATTTTGAAACCAATGCTATAGCATTAGAGAAGTTTGTGGAAAAATCGCTTGATATAGCAGAAGAACAAGGTGAAATTAAAGACATCAACCGTGATTTCTTTATTGCATTAGGAAGTCCTCATGAAACAAAATTGACAGCTGATAACTTAAAATCAGAGAGGGCTGGTCAATTTAGGGCTTTATTCATTCTTATGATTATAAAAAACTTTTTTGCTGGGTTAATGAAATTACATGATGTTACAAGAAATTCTAGTTTGTCTTTTGATTTACCAACCATGGATGTCAATACAGAATATCTCTTTAATTGTTTAGGTATACACCATTCAGAAAATTTACCAAAAATGGCATTAGGAATGTTAACAGAGGATTTGGGTTTCACACTTGAACAAGATAATAATTCAAAACTCATTTTAATGATAATAAAATTTAAGGATTACCGTTTGACAAAGTTTATCGAACTGGGCCAATTTTCTGAAAAAAATGAGGATATTTCATCAATCTTGAAGGATATCATCATTTACACCCTATTAAGTGGAAATTCTTTTTTTATTCTAAGTGATGCTGTTTCAACTAAGGTCTGCTTACTTCCTATCCACCAAAAAGAAACCCCTATTTGGACTCGTGCTGGTAACTGGACTACTCTAAATCCATCAGTGAAATCACATCATATTAACAATTCAACCCCATATGATAATAATCATTTGGCGTTAAAGGGGCTTTTTGCTCTTTTGTTATTCGATGGAATTCAACAACAATTTCATTTGATTGATTTGAAAGAATATCCAGAATATTTGAAATTTAATGATGCAAAGAATATGAATGAACAAAGTGAAGATTGGAAACATTTTTTTAGAGAATTCTTGTTGAATGCTCTAAAAGGGCTGAATCAAACTTCTACATCCTCAAATTCTGGTATTGATAGAACAGTTGACGCTTTAAATGATCCAAAAGATGAAGATTTTGAGAGTTACAGAAATTTCAAACGGCCTCGTATTGGTAAAAAATCGACTCCTTTACAAAAAAGAATGAAGAAAGCTGATAGTGTCATAGAAACAGATTCTTCAGAATCACGCTTTGTTAACCTTAAAAATCCATTGTGTTTCAAAGGATTAGATGATAAATTAATTATCTCAGAAATGTCTACTTACTCTAGTGTGAAATTTGTTATACCTAGTAAAGCATTCTTGGAATTTTTAGATAAATTACAATCTGAAAGTGATGAAGATATTCTTAGAAAGCAAATCATCCAACAAGGAACCGATAAGATTTTTTGGAAGTTTTATGATTTACAAGGTAATATTACACGTTTATATATATATGGATATAATTATTTTGGTGATTATGTTACCACGGGTCTTTCAGAAGCTGATAGATATATTCGTGGGAGTATGGGTGACTTTGATTCTCTGGAATCAATTAATGCAATAGCAAAAGCTGATTATGATAATGAAGTGGAAACATTAAGAGGTATTTACCGTCATAATGCAACTCTCAAAAGAAATGAAAAGGATTTCATCATAAATACTACCCAGGCTTATTGTCATGGAGAAGTACTTGCAAATACAATGGAAGGTAGAATTTATCAAGGTTATCATATCGCTTATAATTATATTGATTTTGTTGCTAACAAGCCTAAAACTAAATCACAGTTTAAATTATGGAAAACCCAAATTGATAATCTACACAAGGCAGGTTACCATCATGGTGATATTCATCCTAGAAATGTTGCTTGTAGAGATGATGGAGAAGTGTTTATTTATGATTTTGGAAAATCAGAACCGATTTCAGAAATGGAAGGTTATTGGAAACAAAAGTGTCTCAACAAAACTTGCACTGATTACAAAGAACTAAAAAGGCATAGCAGAAAGAAGCCTGTAAGTTAATTAATCATTTGATATTATATGACTGGTTATATGTATATCAATCTATATCTAACTTATTTAAATGAGATGTTCTATATCTTTTATCTTTGTTATATCCGGTTGATAGTGATGATGATACTGATGATTGATAACAAGAGACTAGAGCTAGACTATTACACACTATTATCACCATGACTATGACTACTAGTATAATCAACATAGTATATATATACCAGTAATCAATCTAGAGTATCACCAATAACTTTATTATATTTTATTATACTATACTATTCCATAAGCCATAACTACACAAGTCTAGTCTCAATCAATCCAGAAACAGTGAAATATTTATAGTAAACCCCCACAGTCTCACGTCAGTAAAACTAGACTACCTATCATACACCTATCTATACTGTACTACTAACTATTTAGTATGTATACTATAGTCACTTATATTTTACTAGTCCACCTGTCAAATAACTGAGGCTTTATTTATGCCACAATTATAAAGTATTGAGTATATATTATCAATGGTCTAGTCTCCGTTTGATTAGACTTTGATTAAAAATTGTGTAATCTAAATTGTAAATTTGATTTATTTTGATTTGATTAAAAGCCATAATATTAATACAACTTATATGTAATCAATTTCAAAGATGAGTTATAATTCACAACTGTGGATTATCACAGGTAATATATAAACACTTGAACAACCCTTGATCAATCTTTTATTTCATATAATACCCTCATACAATATTATAAACCATAATAATACCCATCATGACTAAATGTTCAAATTGTGAAGTTGATAAAACTCCAATGTGGCGTAAAACTTTTGATAATGATACTAAAGAAGTTATTACATTGTGTAATGCTTGTGGTATTTATTATAAAACTAAAAATTGTCATCGTCCAAGGTTATTAATCTCAAAGAAAAACAGTCTTAGTGTTGGTGAATTATTTGATAAATTATCAAATGAACAAAAAGATGATTCAATAGTAATTAAAAATGATTTAAAATTAGAAGATTTAAACATTATAAGATGTTCAAATTGTGATAATATAAATACTTCAATTTGGAGAAGAGATCAACAAGGAAATTCAATTTGTAATGCATGTGGTTTATTCTACAAGAAGAAAGGTTATCATAGATCAATTAAAAAATCAAATAATAATGATGATGTTTTTTTTTCAATTGATGAAAATTTAATTAGATTTAATAAAATTAAAAAACGTAAAAGATCAAGCTCATCAAGTGATTATAATATCACTAAACAATCTAAAAAAAGATCAAAATCATTATCAAGTAATGATCAACTCAAGTCAAATGATACATCACCAAAAACTCCAAATTTACAATTATCTACAATTACTTCACAACAATCTGATGATTGTGCAATTTCAAGTTCTTCATCATCAAGAAAAAATTCAATAACTTCACCACAACCTATACAATTAATTTCAAATCAATCAAGATCTTTATCATATTCATCAACAACTTCATCAAGTTCATCAAATACATCAACACCACAATTCAATTCAAATTATATATTAAATAGTCATATATTACCAACTTTACATCCTGGTGATAATTCATATACAACAACAACAAATAATACAATTGAATATCAAACAATAAGGAAATCTTCAAATATTAAATTACCACCAATTTCCACAATTTTAAATATAAATATAAACCAATAATACTATATTGTATTATTAGGTAATGAGTTTAAGAGTTAATTATGGCGTTTTTTGGAGATTACAAGATTAAGTATAGATTAGAAATTGGGTATAGTATGTATTTTAAATAAAAGTGTGTAAAATTAGTTCATCTGTATGTATATCCGAGCCGATGATAGTCTATTAATATAAGTAAGTATATGATTCATGGGCCGAGCTGTACTGGTCACTAATCTTTAGAATCGTCATTATATTTATCTGAAAGAAAGTATTGTGTTAAATCTACATCTGAATCAAAAAAAACATCATCTGAATCGGTTTAATCTTCGAAATAATCTAAATTCCATTAAACCAATCTTCAATTTCATCAACAGGAACACCAATTGATACAACAATATTATAATAAATTCTAAATTCAATTGGAATATCGCCCTTAAAATACTACAAATAATACTGTAATGATCATAGAAACCCCATCTTCATATCATTAAAATAAATTTCAATTGATTCTTATTTATACGTACAATATCTTTTATTTACCCGTCCACTATGAATTTATTTTACCGGTCGTTTTCGAATTAATTTTGTACCTTTTTTTTACACGAAAATAAATTTAATGAGACAAAATGAAATACAATAACTTTTGATCTGTGGTAAAACAAACACATAAAACTAATAGGGTTAGTTGATATTGATTGTTAATCTATTGTGCTGATTATTGGTGTATTACGTTCATTCACAATGCCAACAAGAACTACCCCCAAGAAAACCGTTTCATTTTCTGATAATGAACCACCTGTCAAAGAACAACAACATATAGATTTAGAAGAAAATATAAAGATCCCATTTTCTTTGAAAACTATTCCATTCCATTATATCTTGATTGTTTATTCCATTTTGAAACAAGATATCACCACTGGAAATGTCTTGAATAATTTAATTAATAATTTATTTGCGTTGATTTTTATGCAATTGGTTTATACATTTTTATTTGTTACTAATATTATTGAAATCACTAAGAAAAAACATCAAAAAAGAGTCAAATTATCAATTGGGAAAGATTATAGTTTAATAATTAGTTCTATATTAATATCATTGGTCTTTGTATTACCAATTTATTTACTTGTTGTATTATTTGGTGCTCCATTTACAACTTATTTCCAAGAAAATTTAATTTTATCAACTCATTTATCATTCTTAAGTTATCCAATTATTGTTTCATATTTTAAAACTGGTGAAAAATCAATATATTATAAATATTTAGCATTCATTGCAATTGGTGCTTGGTTTGGTGCAATTGCAATCCCATTAGATTGGGATAGAGATTGGCAAAATTGGCCATTACCTATTGTTATTAGTAGTTATATTGGTTCATTTATTGGTTATTCAATTGTTGGTTTACTCTGAGATCCATAAGTACTAAAGATATCATAAATCTATATATTTTATATGTTTTTTCATTATACATTTTATTTTAAAATAGAATATTATATACTAAAGATTCTTGTAAATCTCTTTTAATTGATCATTTGTAAATATTTGTGAAGTTTTATTTGATGTAGAATTTTGAATTATAATAGTTGCAGGACCTTTAACTTGATAAAAAATTTTATCATTTAAATAAATATTATTAAATTTATTATAAATCCATGTTCCAATTGATTTAATTGATTGTGGAATTTCAAATTTAGTTTTAGTTTGTTCATCACCTATTTGTTGTAATTGTTGTTCTGTGGCTGGTGTGGATAATTGTGGTTTGGAGACTAATTCCTCTTGAGATGTGGCTTTAATTTCAGATGTGGCGGAAGAATTATTAATAGTCTTTAAATTTCTATTCAATTTATTTAAAAATTGATTAAAATTAATCTTTATTGAATCCCAAATTTTAAATTTTGGAATTGAAATTGATGATAAAGTTGAAGATTGTAATTTTGTGAAAATTTCATCTTTTGATTTGGAATTTATAGCAATTATACTTTTTGGATTTAAATATATAGTTTCATTTGAATCTAAATTTAATGTAAATAATTGATTTTCACCATTTAAAATTATATTACTTGATCCATTACCAGATTGAATTTTAATACCAAATTTATCATTAAGAATTTTTAAATCTTGTCCATACCATGCAGTTAAATTCTTAGTATTTAAAATTTTCCATTCATCATTTGAATTTAATTCTAAATTTATGAAAAATTTATTTGAACCTTTATTTGATAATATAATTGAAATTGGTGTAATTGAAGAAATTTGATTATAAATTAATGGTTTTGTTAATAATTTTAATACAGATAATTGAGAATTTAAATTATTTAAATCACCATTTGCAGCTAATATAGAATTTGAACGTAAATTTAATACTGTTGATGGTGGTAATGAAACATTGACTAATGAAGCTGGATTCCCCAATGGTTCAAATTTGGGATCTGATGATATTATATAGTTAGTAAATGATCTATATCTATTGTACTTCTTTTATACTCACATTCAACAAATGATTCTGATTTAGAAACTTCATTCAATTCATTAAATACAATTCTACTTTGAGATATGAATCTTCTTCCAAGAGTTGAAGTGTATGATAATTCTCTTTTAAACATCTTGGAGTTTAAAGATCAACTGACTTATCAATTCAATCAATAATCTAAATTTAAAAGGGATCTCAGATTCTCAATTTCTTTAAACAATCAACTTTTTGGGCGAAAAGACTTGATGACACGCGAAATCTGTCATTTGAAAATACACCATTAATTTAAAGAAAAGAGTGGTGAAACATTACAATGAAGGATTTAATATATTGCATTGGACTTAGAAATTGCTTCCTATCAACTACAGTTTTTTTTGGGTTCAAAAGAATCAAATTTTGATGTAATAAAAGTATAATACCATATTTTCTTAGTCATAACTTAAGTAATCTTGTAATTCATAATCATAAATTCAGCATTTTAAAGTCAATATTGGTATGATTTGCTGTATTTAAGATTATTGAATAATTTGAATTCAATGTATTATTACTATGGGCTATTGATATATCTAAATTCCTTGTTAATTAAATTTGAAAATTTGACTGTTTTCAATTTTATTGACCTTAATTATTGAATTTTAAATTCGAAACCAAGAGATTCAAAATTTACCGTTTTTGAAAATTTCGAATTATTGACTTTTGAGTATACAGACATGGAATTTGAAAAAAATTATAATCTATAACATATTAACCCCTTTCTTTATAAAAAATTATACCAATTATTATATTTAAATTATATCCAAGGCGAAAATATCCGGCAAAAAACAAATGTCACTTTCTAGAATGACAGTAAGAATTCGCGGATTTTTCTTTGCTTAAGAAAATTTAATACCCATTGTATAAATTTATCAAACAGTTTAATGATTAATTGTGTCAAAAAGATTGAAAAAAAGGGTATATTTGACAGAATGAGTGACCAAGATAAAAAACAGCTGATTAAAGACAGAGAAGAATACCAAGATATCTTGAATTATTTAAATCATAATCAATTAACTGAAGTTTTATCACCTTTAGATGGTGAAGGTAGAGAATTTTGGGTTCAAGCTATAACAAATCCAAATGATTCAAATCCAATAAAATTAGATATTGGTAATGGAGATTTCAAAGAATTTAATTCAAATGATGCTAAAAAGTTCTTAAACACCAAAATTGAACAATTGAATAAAAAAATTGGTAAAGTGAATTAAATCATGACAAATGATAACCATGAATTATAGAATTGATGGGAATGATCTCATACAATCATGAACTTGATTACTGATCAATGGGGGTATTCAAAAACAGACATTGAACCCATCAGGCATCTTGTGTTACCAAGAGAATATCGTTCCAGCTACATGTCAATAATTATTCAAGAAAAACAACAACAAGAGATTAAATTTTGATTTGAGGAACATTTTTGCAGCTCACATCCAAAATCAGGATAATCAATTTGTATATTTAGTAATATATAGACTATTCATTTAAAATGAATTGAATGGTGTCTAATATTGGGAAGATATTGTAGGACCTTTCATTGACAGAATTCAATCTGTAAAAAATCCACAATTTTTCCATTTCCCTCAGGTAAAGAAAAGTTTACAAAGTGAAAAAAGCCTTATATGGTCTGCGCCAATCTCCAAGAAAATGGTATGAAAACTTAACGAAACGTTGAATTTAAATTGTAAATTGTAGAAGAAAGCAAAAAAATGGATATTTATAAAGTAAGTTCCCGCGCGCGCGCGCCGGCGATCCCATAAAATTACCCGGGTTTATCAAACAATAAAGGACTCATAATTCATTACTATTTGAATCATCAACAAATTGTAAATTGTAAAATCAAAAATTCAAGTAATAACTCTATTATTTAATTTTGCTATCAAAAAGTGGAGGTATACCATCAATAAAAGTTGAATTATACGCAGCAACATCTCTGTGATTTCTGAGTACGGGGCTAGTGGTGTCTGATCTTGAAATATTGAATGCATGAGGACTGGAAAATATTGCAAGTGATTTGAAATATTCTTGTCCCTTAATGAATTGATCCACACCTGCATTCACTTCTTGTATTGTATTGTCAATATTACCATAATGATCACCAATGATAATACTGAATCCATTGTTGACCTCGTAGATAACTTCAAAATCAACAGAACAATTGGACGTCTTTTGATTGATTATAGATCTCAATTGATCATAAGCTTCTAATAAAACACCAGCTTCTGTAAGAGCACTTAAAAGGAAAACTACCAACACAAAAGGGGTGAAACGAACCATTTTGATATGATTATTGATATGGTTTGATAAATATGAGCACCAATTTGGTTTGGTATTACTGAAGAAAAGAACATCCAATATATAATCACGAAATTCAGGACTATCACGATTCATGACTCATGATCATTGATTGTTTGAATTTATGTACGCTAAATCTATCGCATATAACGGTTACGTACGTAGTAACTTGTAAGTAGTAAGTAATAACATATGCTTAACTCAACTACAACACTTCATTTCAATTAGTTTATTCAAAAATGTAGAAAAAGAAATCACCCTCTTAATTTGAGAAGCACTTTCCAGCTTTCATCAATATTAGATGGATCTCTTTTAGTATATATTGATTATGGATCTTGATAGATTATTTATATGATAAATTATTTATATGATAAATTGAAAAGATAAATATTGATTTTATGAACATGTAGTAGATATGATAATCTCAACAAATTGCTTTATTATGATTCATCACCTATATCCTATATCCCTATATCATAGTATCATCATGGATCAAGAATCCAAATCAAAAATCCAAATCAAGGACAAGCTGATAATGGAAACTCAACAAACCCATGTATGGACTTAGACAAAGCCATGTATGGACATCAACAAACTCCGAGAATATGGAATCAAACTAACGTAAGTTAGGTATCAAAACAAATATATGTTGATCACAATTGCTAGAGAAAATGATTTTGTATTGAATTTATCGCGAATTTTAAAATCTGATATAGATCTGAGCCTAGAACAAGATGTAAGACAGATCAAAAAAAAGTCAAAATAGAATACTCAACTACAATGTACCTTCTATTTCTATTAATTCATTATTCATATAAATATATATATACAGATTGATCTATAAAGAACAAGTTCTTATTTATTCAATGATAAATCTTTTTCAACTTGTTCATCAACTTGATCATTAATTTCTTCAATAATTTCTTCATTAATTTCAACTTGTTGTTGTTGAAACTCATCATTTTCTTGTTCACCATTTTTACTTAATAATTGATTTAAAAATGAATTTTTCAATTCAATTAATTCATTAAATGAACCAGTTTCAACAACTTTACCTTCTTTACCAATAACTATAATTCTTGAACTATTTTTTATAGTACTAACTCTATGAGCAATTGATATTGTTGTTTTACCTAATAATGATCTATTATGTAAAGTTTCACTTATAATTTTTTCAGATTTTGTATCTAAAGCACTTGTACTTTCATCCAATATTAATAAAGAAGGATCTAATAATAGGGCTCTTGCTAATGCAATTCTTTGTCTTTGACCACCTGATAATTGTGTACCTCTTGGTCCAACAATAGTATTTAATTTATCTGGGAATTCATTTATAAAATTTAAGACATTTGCTTGAATTAAAACTTTATTTAAATCTTCTTGGTTATAATTCTTAACACCATATGTTATATTATCCAAAATAGTACCTGAAAATAATGCAGGTTCTTGTTGAACAACACCAATTTTTTTCCTAAATTGACGTAAATTAAAATTTTTTATATTTGTATTATTTATTAAAATTTCACCTTTATTAATATCATAAAATCTTAATAATAATTGAGTAATTGTAGATTTACCTGAACCACTTGGTCCAACAATACAAACATGTTCCCCCGGTGAAATTTTTAATGATAAATTTTTAAAAATTTGAATATTTGGTCTTGTTGGATAATTAAAATCAACATTACGAAATTCAATTGTTGATTTAAGATCTTGTGGAGTGGGGATAAAACCTTTTGTTAATGAAATTTCAGGTTTTCTATCATTTAATTCAAAAATTCTTGCAGCAGCACCTGCACCTTTCATAATTTCTGAATAAAAATTTGAAAGTCCAAACATTGAAGAACCTGTATAAACTGCATACATCATAAATGAACTTAATTCTCCTACTGTTAAAGTACCATTTTTAATCATATTTGAACCAATACCTAATAATGTAATTAATCCAATATTTGCAATGAAACCAGTAGTACCGAAAAAAATACCAGATAATTTTGCTTCTTTATAACCAATATTGAAAACTTCACGAACATTTTGTGAATATTTTGAAACTTCAATTCTTTCATTACCATAAGCTTGAATTGTCTTTGTAGAATTTAATTGTTCCTCGGCAACTTTTGTTAAATCACCAATAGATTTTTGTAAATCTCTTGATAAATTTCTAATTTTACGACCATAAAAAAAAGCCATTACACCTAAAGGTGGAGCTAATAATCCCATTATAGAAGTTAATTTCCAACTAACAAGACTCATCATTGTTAACCCAACACCACCACTTATTATAGCTCTTATACCATCACTTATATTTTGAGTAACTGATTTTGAAACTATAGTTGCATCAGAACTTAATCTTGAAATTAAATCACCTACACGATTATTATCTAAGAATTTTGAATCTTGTTCTAATGAAGATTTAAGAGTTTTGGTTCTTAACCTTGCAACTAATTTTTCACCAATTGTTTTAAGGATAATAACTCTACCAGAATTTGCAATAGCACCAATTATGAATACACCACCAATAGCCATAAAGAATTGATTCATTGAAAGACCATATATTAAAGTTTCTTGATTTGGATCTGCGACATTACCTGAATCCAAGAATTTACCAATAATTAAAGGGACAGACATTGATATAGCACTTGATATTAATAATAAAGATAAAGCACCAATCATTGGTTTTGTTTCTGGTTTAGCTAATTGGAATAATCTTTTGATATCACTGAACCCGGAGGCTTTGGAATCATGTGGGGATAGTTTGGCATCTTGTTGTATTATTGGTTTATTGGTGGTTGAGCTTGTTGATGAATTAGTTGATTGGAATCTTATAGATCTAAAAGATGGTTGATTTATTGATAATTTGATTGGATTTATGGGTATTCTATTGATTGATCTGAGATGGGACCATGCAGTGGGAGTGGGAGCCCTAAGTCCTATTCTGATACTAGAAATCATGTAAAACCCGGGATGTTGTTTGATATGAGTAGTACTGAGTCTTCTTTCCGATTTACTTTGTTTGAATATTGAAGGTGTTTATTATTACAAATTTGAAAATTAGCCGCTGAGTTTGAGATCTGAGAAACGAGGGTAGAAATATGGGCATGTGACGCGTCAGGTGATTTTGCACCTCGGTATTCAACCGTATTATCTAAGCATTATATAAGCGAGTAACCAGTAACAAAATACGTAACCATAACAACACTTTTAATTTTCAAAATCAAAACAATCAAACTTTTTTTTTTAATTTTATTTTTATTTTTAGTACGTCAGAAATTGTTCAATTTTGTGTTTTTCTGCCCAACGAATTAAAATTGTTTCACTTTAATTTGCAGTTGTTTGAAAATGTTTTAGATGAACAAGATCTTAAACAACACCATGATTTATTAGTGACTGGTAATATATACTACTGGTAACATCATGTCTAGTCAAGTAACACTTCCCTCTTGCAATGACGCACTTCTCTTAATTCTATGCAAACAATTTCAAGTTTGTATACATTTTGCCAAATTTCCCATTGCCTTAAATAGGAATTATTACTTCATTGGGTAAATTTCAGTGAGTTTAAGCACCACAGTGGGCCATAATTTTAACCGACCCTTAAAAACAATGAGTATAATTGAATTATATATAGACAGATAGACTAGTGTTTGATCAAGTCTAGTCAAAGTGTATATATGGCTTCTGGGTTATGGAATGATCCTAAGGAGTTAGTCAACCCCTGTCGAACCTTCGCTCATCGTTGGCTTGTTAGTTTCAAACTTGATCTTTATCTCGATTGAATTAAAGATCTGCAAACGTACCTGTGCTTTCGACTTTAGGCTGCTTGGAAATGTATGCTTACAAAAAAAACATCCATGCGGTTTTCAAAATTTTAGTTTTCGATATAAATAATTTTGAAATCCCTAGAACCCTTAACTTGTACTTTGCTAAGCTTAATAACTATACTTTCTTATCACACACACACAATGGTTGTTCCTCCTGCTAATGGTTATGATTTATTAAAAGAACATGCTTATCATGAATATGGTTCAAAAGAATTCCAATCAGTTTTAAATTTTGATTATAGTTTTGCCCTTGATCAATTTGTTTCACATAAATCATTTGACCTAAATACACTTTCTTTATTAATAATTATTGGATTAATAGTTTCAATTATTATAACAAAAATAATTTCTTCATCATATAACCATAGTTCAATCATAAAATCACAATCTATATATATTCAAGATGATTTAGAATCTCAATTACCACCTCAATTATCAAGATCAAATACAACAACTCCAATAAATTCACCAAATTTATCAGAAAATTTATTTGGTTTAAAAATTTATCAATTTGAAGATAATCATTCAAAACAAGCATAATTACAACAACAACAATACTACTCTTTCCAATTGATTTCAATTGAAAAGACATTATTTATATGACATCTGTGTGTTCATTCCTTATAATCTCAATCATCATTCCCATTTCAATGGCCCACAATTTCAGTTTCTTCAAGATCAAAATTTTCAATATTTAATACCCATATGATCTTTTATTTTTCACGTCTATAACGTTATGACAACTCGTTCAAGTTAACTTCATATTTACTTTCTTTTGCATCCAATATTAACCATGTTTACGGTTCTACATAGTTAATATTATAATCTTTTATTTATGAATGATTTGAATTTGTAGGTAAAAAGACAAAGTCTATACTTATTTTTAGTTGATCTTCAATTAGTTTATTATGATTATGTAACATCTGACATAAGCAGGAAACGTTTTCATAATAAATTCATTTATACTTGCTTAAAAGATAAAGATATTTTATAGATTTATATCAGATTCTATTAGTTTTTAAATGGTTAATGATGGTTATTCGATGATGGATACTAATACCAACATCAATTCAAATAAGGATGTATCAAATGAACATGATTATGAAAAAAATGATGATACTCCAAAGTCATTCCATAAGAAATTATTCAAAATTAAATTATTTAATGGTATAATTAAAGATCTTCAAGATAGATTACCTTTATATAAATCAGATTGGTTAGATTCATGGAATTATAGAGTTATCCCTGCAACTATTTTAACTTTTTTCACAAATATTTTCCCAGCTATTGCATTTGCTCAAGATATGTTTGATAAAACTGATAATTCATATGGTGTTAATGAAGTTTTATTAAGTTCTGCAATTGGTGGTATTGTTTTTGGAATTTTTAGTGGTCAACCATTAACTATAGTTGGAGTTACTGGTCCTATAACAATTTTTAATTATACAGTTTATGAAATTATGAAACCTCATTCCAAAGATGCAAAATTTTTCCCATTTATGTTTTGGATTTCAATTTGGGGTATGATTTTCCATTTTGTAATTTCAATAACAAATTGTGTTAATGCTTTAAAATTTGTTACTCAATTTCCTTGTGATATTTTTGGATTATTTATAAATATTGTTTATTTACAAAAAGGTGTTCAAATTCTTACAAGACAATTCCATCCTGAGGATAATGGTTCTTCAGGTTTTGCATCATGTACTTTAGCTATATCAATGGGTATATTAGGTGTTACTGGTAATCTGGCAAATAGGACAAAACTTTTCAATTATCATATAAGACAATTTATTGTTGATTATTCAACACCTGGATTAATTGTGTTTTTCACTGGATTTATACATTTTGGTGGATACTTGGATAATGTTAATTTTGAAAAATTACCCATCACAAAATCATTTAGACCCACATTAAGAGACAATTGGATTGATGTAACAGGATTACCAATAAAATATATTTTTTTAGCATTACCATTTGGTATTATATTAGCTATATTATTTTATTTTGATCATTCAATATCTTCATTAATGGCTCAAGATTTAAAATTTAAACTGAAAAAACCTGCATCATTCCATTATGATTTATTTTTATTAGGTATTGTTACTGGTATATCAGGAGTTTTAGGAATTCCATGCCCCAATGGACTTATACCACAGGCTCCATTACATACAGAATCTTTAGTAATTAGAAATAAATTTAATAATGAAATTATTGGAACTGTGGAACAAAGATTTACAAATACAGTCCAAGGTTTAATGTTATTGGGTATGATGACAAGACCTTTATTAATTTGTTTAGGTTTAATACCACAATGTGTCCTTGCTGGTTTATTTTTCATTATGGGTACTACAGGATTAATTAATAATGAAATTATAAATAGAATTAGATTTATATTTTCACAAGATGATTCCCTAAATTTAAAATTTGTCCCCAAGAGGAAATTGTATTTATTTGTTTGTTTTTCATTAATTGGATTCATTGCAGAATTTGGAATTGTTAATACAAAAGGTGCAATTGGATTTCCTTTAGTTTTATTATTAAGTGTTATTGGTGCAATGTGGTTCAAATGGATTTTCACTGTGGAAGAATTAGAAATTTTAGATGGACCAGTTGCACATGAAAATACTTTAAAAAATTTATTATGATATATAGCTAATGTTTTATGTTTATTTATTTATAAATCAATATTTTTATTTGCATTTCAATTACCAATATTTTCGTTAATTATTTCATCAATAACATTTTCTTCTAACATTTCCAAATCATATGAATACTCTTTAATGATTTTTTCATCTATTGGCTTACCCTTGGCTGTGAAATCAAATTTTGAAGATTCCCCAAAATCAATTAAATAAGCCTTATCACCTGATATTATAATATTATCACCCCTGATATCATTATGTTGTATGTTAACCAAATAGTTCAAGTTGTATATTTGTTTTCTCAATGATTTAATGTGTTTTTGAGTAATAGTATCTGTTATTGGAAGTTTCTCAAGTAAAATATAAAATGCATGATTAGGCATATTTGATGATCCATTAGCATAATAAGGTAATTCATTCTCATTGGCTCTATGTGTTGGGTTCTTCATATTTATGATACCTAAATTAACTATTTTGGGGATATTGATCAATTGCTCTTCATCAGTACAGCTCTTCTTATACTCCTCAATAGATTTATAAGCTAAAAGTTCTCTCAAAAAACTTTCACAAGCCATTCTATAACCAAAACGTGGTTCTACATATTCACCTCTTTTCAAAGCATGTTCAATGATTGCTAACCAACGAAATTCAGGATCTATAATTTTAAAGATATATTCACTTGTTTTTGACTTCTTATGACCATCAATTGAATCAGGATTGGGATCCTTTCCAATAACTTTGTTAAATTTATTAGCGTTGATGTTGATTGTTTGTGACCACTTGTGATTATTGATTATACCCAAAGCATCCAAATTCTCTAAATGTAAATCAAATCTTCTTTTATCGTTCTTGAAAAAATCATCAGCATGAAACCTTCTGGACTCTTTCTCAAAAATATCAATTGTGATAGTATTGCCATTAGTATTTTTTGTGGATTGGTCAACTGATGATGATGGTTGATTTTCAATTGAATCCATTTGATCGGAAACATTCTTAGCACCAGACATAACTTTGCCCTTTCCCTTAGCTTTTGGGACTTGAGTACTTTCTTGTTTTGAATAATTGTTGATAAGGTCAAAAAACTCTTCTCTATTTTTATCAAGGCCTTTGTTTTTGTACAACTGATCTGGAAGTTTGGAATACAATTCCATAGAAGCAGTTTTGTTAATATTTGATAGCTTCTCAGCTATATGAGACGAAAGAATACCAACATTGTCTAAATCAGCTTCTGATAGATGCTTCTTAAATTTAGTATCAAAAAAGTCTTGCCATGTCTTATAGTGCCTATTAGGAAACTTGATGTTCCTGTTTTCAAACCGCTTTCTGAAATGTTCAATGAACTCTTCCTCTGTGACTAGCCTTTGATCATGATTAGCCATTTTGAATAACAGATCATGTTGAGCAAAAGATCATTAATTAAGAAAGGAAGAATGTGTCAAAAAGTGGTTAAATTGGTCTTTTAACTCTCATATTCGCGACTCTTACATAATTCGAACAACTTCAGCATATAAGTAAAATTCCTGAAGTTTGTTGGATTATTCGTTGGTATTGTTCGTGTTGTTGGTGCATGTTTTGAAAAATACATTAAAGAGTTTATCATAGTTATGTTTATTTAAATTATGAATCAATCAATATTTTTATTTGTTATTGTATTTAAATCTTGCTCAAAAAATTCATATAACCAAAAACCTGGTAAAATTGTTGTCAAATGCCATATAGCATGTGCATCAATTTGGAAATTTAAATTTATAAAATCAAATACTTCAAAACTCATACCGAAAACCACTGAACCAATTAATAATAAAGGTTTTAAATATAATGATTTTCTATTTGGAAATTCTTTATAATGTTGATAACTTAAAATTAAAAATAATCCATATTGTAATATAGCAATTGTTATATTTGCTTGCATATTATAAGTATAAGACCAATCATAATTTAATCTAATGAAATGATAAAGATAAAGTAATAAACAAATTCTTGATGTCCATTGCTTTTTGATAGGTTCAAGATCAAATCTGAAAACTCTTATAATTAATGCATGTAATCCACTCAAAACAGTTGCACCTGCAAAGAAATAATCTAATCTTTCAGTTATAATCAAATCACGAATATGGAAAATTGTGCTGAAAATCCATGCAAACATTGTTATTATGGAAATTATTAAAATATTTTCAACAAGTATTTTTTGAGAATTTTGAGTTGTTGATTGATATTTTTTATAAAATTTTTGGAAGTTTAAATAATGTGGTATGAAATTCAATGCAGAGAATAAAGTTGAAAAGAATTCTTGAGTTAATAATATTCTTTTAAAGGGCCATTTCCCATGGAATTGTAAAATTTCTTCATTTGATTTTACTCGTTCAATTGTTATAATTTGTTGACATTGATAATCACAATTTGCAAAACAATCCCAGCATAATAATCTCAATATAGGAGAGACTTGTGAAAATTGATAACCTTGATATAATTCATTAAAATTTGATGGAGTTTTTGAACAAATATTTGATTCACATGTTGATAAACATTGTTCAAATTCTTCTAAATTATCACCTGGTGATGCTAAAGTGCCATGAGCTAAAAGAACAAGAGGTAAATAACCATATAGTTTCATCCCGAAATATCTAAAAAGCACACCTTTCAAAGCAGTTCAAAGTCAGAGTGGTCAACAATGATATTCTCAATTGTTAACGACAAGTTTCATCAAGTACTCAATCAAAAATATTCACTATATATGAAAAATTCGCGACCATACAAAAATATAAATTACTACATATCTCAACTAAACCATCAAATATCGAACTCATTTATTATAGCATATTATATGAATTTGCAGTATTTCAATTACCAATAATGTCTTTTACGTCATCAATATATATTTCTAACCTTTCAAAATCATATGATTCTTTGATGGCGGTACTCTTACTTACTGGCTTAGTAGGCTTGATTGGCAAACGTCTAAATTTGGTAGCTGCCCCAAAATCAATCAAATAAACCTTATCCCCTGATATTATAATATTATCACCCTTGATATCACCATGTCTTATGTTAGCAAAATAGTTCAGATTGTAGATTTGTTCTCTTATTGATTTGATGTGTTTCTGAGTAATATCATCTGTTTTTGGAATGTTCTCCATCAATATATAAAAAGCATGATTAGGAACATCTGACTTCCCGTTAGCGTGATAAGGTAACTCAGACTCATTGGCTCTATGTGTTGGATTCTCCATATTTATGATACCAAAGTTAATTAATCTTGGAATATTGATTACCTGTTTCACATCAGTACAACTCATATTATAATTCTCAATTTTATTGTAAGTCAAAACTTCAGTCAAAAAATTTCCACATGCAACTCTATAACCAAAACGAGGTCCATCATATTCTCCTTTTTTAAAAGCGTGTTCTAAAATTGCCAACCAAAAATATTCAGGATCAATTAATTTCAAAAAAAGTTCACTTGACTTCGATTGCTGATTGTTGGAGCCAAACATTTCCTTATATTTTTGAGAACTAATATCGATCGATAAACAAAATTGATGGGTCTTTAGTTTGCCTAAAGTATCTAGATTCATCAGGTTTAAATCACATCTCCTTTTATCGTTTTTGAACAAATCATCAGCACCAAGATCTTGGGAGGTTCTCCTGAAAATATGAGCTGCAAATCTATTGAAATCATCCAATGGATCAGTATCTTTTGTAGACTGATTAGAAGACGATGATGATTGATTTTGAGCAGAATCTTTCTGACCTGAAGCATTCTCACTTCCAAACTTATAAAATTACCCCTTCCATTAACTTCTGGAACATTGTCTTGTGTTTGTTTCAAATAATTGTTAATCAATTGACTTAATCCTAAACTATTGTTACCTTCAAGTTGGTGATTTTTGTACAACCACCAATATAAGAGTTCTCTGAGTGTAACTGGGCTTGTATCGGTATTTTCAACTATCATATAATTAAGATGAATTATGGTCTTTGTAACCAGACCAATCTCAAAGTAAACAAATCTAAACCCATCAGTAATTAGAGTATCACTCCTACCATAAAGGATTTGATTTAGGTACATCTCACAAAGAACCTCGTTTATTTCTTTACAGTCAATATTTCGATCTGGGTCCCTTGACTTATCTTCAATAAATTGACAAAGTAAGTCTATATTATAACCAGCTAATCCCATAATAACCCACTTCCGTTCAGGGTCTTGATCACTAGCAATTATGAATTCAGGCCTCCATGTGTTACCACCTAATGCTGAGCTCACTCTGTTGTTTCCAGTGGGTTCATACTTGTAGTACTGATTTGGTTTTGTTTCTCTTTTATGATAAACATTTAGATTTTCATTGAATAGATTACCGAATGCTCTAGCATATGTACTCAAAACATAATCTATATTATCTTTACTGGTCATGTAATTTTCGGGACTTTTGGGCAAATTGATTTGATCACAAAAAGAAGATTGAAATTCATCACCAATAATACTATGATTGGACATTTGGGTTTCAAGACAAGCTGTAATTTCACTCTTAATAATTTCCATATGCCATCTTATCTTCTCACTCAGAGTTCTATGGAAAAACCTAACCCGATTAGCCATATTAGAGTCTTTATCTGTAGTTCCTATGAAGTACTTTGAGTATTCACTATTACTTGAAGAAATTAATTTCCTTTTCTTGAAGACGTTATTTCTTTCCCCAATGTTTAGCTCTGGGAGTTTTAAGAAAAGCTCAATAAATGCAGTAGCATTAATCTTAATCAGATCTTCACTTAATTCATAACAAAGAATCCCAACATCGTATGCATCAGTTTGTGATAGACGAGGCCTAGCTCTAGGAGGAATAAAGTCTTCCCAAGTACGATAGTTGTCATTTGGGAATGTGATCACCTTGTCTTTAAAACAGTCATTGAAGAAACTAATTAAGTCTTTCTTTTGAAGTAATTTCATTTTATTATCAGTCATGTTGAGCAAAAGAGTCAAGACTATAGAAACGAAGAATTATGTGTCAAAATTATGTAGTTGGTTATCTCGTAAATATCAACTTGAGCTGATATTCGCGACTCCATTAATAGTGATATGATGAACACTTTTGAAGCAAAAAAAAGCTATAACCTGTAACCAGCTCCAGTTGAGAAAAACCAAATATAGAGCTGAACTATTCCATGAATTAACTCCTACTACATAAAGAAAATCATATATAAAATCATAAATAAAAATCACAAATTGAAAACAAATAATGTTACACAAAACTTAAACTCCATAAACCCCAAATTATAATACAATTGTTAATAACACATTGTCATCAAAACTAAACCATCTTCTTGAATGCTTGTCTTGCATTTTTCAAAAAACTATTTAAATTTCTTGTTTCATTAAATTTTATTAAAAGTTCATTAACATCATCTTGTGAAATTTCAGGTATTGTTGATAAATCTTCATATTTAGAACCATCAACTTTTAAATTCAATTGGAATTCTCTTTCTGTGTTTTTAGGATCAATATTATGGAATTTAAATGTCAAATAACCTTGTTTACCTCCTTCAATCTTTAGACTTAATACTTGTTCATAAATCAATACTTGTGGTATATCTCTTTCAGCTTGCTTTTCTTTAGATATTTTCAATTTATTCAATTCTTGCCTTCTTTCATTAACTTGATTTGATAGATCCAATACTTGTTTTTCCAAATTTTTACGATCTTCAATTAATGTTTCTTCTTTTAATTTTAATTCATTTAATCTTGAAGATGATGAATTTTTATCTTGGACTTCTTTTGCCAGTTCTTTATTTAATTCCACTTCTCTTTCAGCAAGAGATTGTAACTCTTTACCATATTCTTTATATTCATTCCTTAGATGTTGTAATTTATTTTTGAAATCTTCTTTTGATTTAATTATTTGAGATTTTTGATTTGATATATAACGTTCAAATTTTGTGGAAATTTCCTCCATTTTGGCCTCAACTTCTGGATCAAGCGTACGTATATCAGACATGATGAGCTAATTAACCAATAATTTATAATACAATGAATTCCACCAAAACAATCCCACTTCAATTTGGTTCAAATTCACAGAAAATGTCATAAAATTTCCAAATGTTTATTTGTTTTTATTTTTGTTTAGCTGGCGTTTGGCGGGTAACTTTTCTGGAAAATTCGCGCATTGTTTATGTTTTATTTTGACACACAAATTTAATATCAATTAATTCAATTTGATTACTGAAATATTGAAAGAATACTGAATTTGAATATCAATTTGATTGGATTTCCACCTGGTTAAGTTATTAATGGTCATGTCAGAGTCAGAATCAGATCTCTTAAAGCCAGAGGGACACAGTGCCAAACCAGGTTCAGGTTCCAAAATTAAATTCTTAACTTTAAACACTTGGGGTTTAAAATTTGTATCAAAATTTAGAAAAGATCGTCTTCGAGCTATTGGCGATAAAATTCGTCTGGAACATTTCAAATATGATGTTATTGCTCTACAAGAAGTTTGGTGTAAAGAAGATTGGGATTATATTGAAGAAACTGTTAGTGATTTTTTCCCATATAGAAGAATTTTTTATTCTGGTATAATTACAGGTCCTGGATTAGCTATACTTTCTAAAATTCCAATTGATTCAACTTTCCTTTATAGATTCCCTATAAATGGTAGACCAAGTGCATTTTGGAGAGGTGATTGGTTTGTGGGGAAATCAGTTGCTGTTACTTTATTAAGACCTTTAGATGATGATTCATTTCCTTTGGCAATTTTAAATTCTCATATGCATGCACCTTATTCACTTGAAGGTGATGCTGCTTATACATGTCATAGATCTTGTCAAGCTTGGGATTTTGCTAAATTATCTAAATTACTTTCTAAAGCGGGTTATGCTGTGGTAATTGTGGGTGATTTAAATTCAAGACCTGGTTCTTTACCTCATAAATTTCTTACATTAGAAACTACTTTAATTGATAGTTGGGAACAATTAAATGGTGTTCAAGATTTAAATAAGATTAAAAATCTATCACCGGATTTACAAATTGAAATTGGTGGTACAACTTGTGATTCAACTTTAAACACTTGGAGATCAAATCGTCATCCAACTGAAGCTTGTAGATTAGATTATGCACTTATTGATTCTTCCAAATTGAAAACTCTTGAGGCAAAAGTTGATTTTACAGAGCAAATACCTGAAATTGGTTCATATTCTGATCATTTTGCCTATTCATGTACATTACAAATTTCATCAAAAAATTCATATAAATCATTAACAAGATCAAATAGTATTACAGTAAATACAGTGGAATATTATGATGAAATGTTGGAATTATTGAGAAATTATAATAAAACTGCTAAATGGCAAAAATCATGGAGAGGTTGGCATTTTATTTTATCAATAGTTTTATTAATTATAATTCATATTGTGGCACCTTTTACATCCCAGAGAGCTTCATGGTCCTCGGTATTTTGGGTTTTCAGTGCTACAATAATTTCAATAACTGGATTAATTGATGGATTAATTTCTTATCTTTTTGGAAGATCTGAAATAAGAGCTTTAGAAGAAGTTAAACAAGAAGTTTTAGATGCTAAAAGAAGTTTACAAACAATTGTTTATAATTAAATGAGTGATGAATATATTAAGGGGGTGATGACTAATAGATAATAATGATCAATATTTAATGAATTTGTGGGTTGGATTATAGATATTAAGTTAAAATGGGATAATATGGGTTATTATGTTGAGATTAAAGGAATCTTTGTGATTAACTATTTGGTAAAAAGGATAAAGATAATCATTTGAATTAAAAATTATACAAAAACACACAATATGAATATAAAATCTAAAAACTTTTAAATTAGTGATTGGCCGCGCTAACAAAGTAAAAACATTAGATGGATTTTTGAATAGATATGATGAATAAAATATTTGCAATTGATTATGAATTGAATATAAAATAAAGAATACTCAAAATCAAAAACCAAAAAACAAAACAAAGCTGTAAAAGAACAAGAATATATCATAAACAAAGGGATATTTTAAAAAGAATTCAACATGAAACACCCTCATTAATATAAACTTATTCTATAATTTTATTTTTAAAGAATTCTTCAACCAACTTCCATAGAAATGAACAAATAGACCAATATATTCTTTACACTGTAGTTGTTGATTTGAGTTGAGTTGTGTGATCATTCAAGGTAGCTGGTCGAGATCATCTTAGCTTGACAACTAGTATAAAATCAAATATCCAATTCAATCCAATAATGTTGAGACAAATTTTATACTTAGAATTTGGTATAATATCGACTGATATATTAATGGTTAGTACTAAAAGCACCTGAACTATTTTCTCAAACAAAACAAGGGTTTGTCATATTGCTATTTATATCATGGTTCTATCAAACCTCATTGTCTTGTTTGAATAATTCTTCTCAATTTTTGGTTATCTTTATATGTTTTACATAATCAATAACGTAACCCAGTTGTTTTGAAAAGCCGCCAAAGCCCGAGAATCCCAAGCCATACTTTTTGACTCGCGAATGCTGTTTTTACTAATAAAACTGTCTAAATAGACCATTAACGTACAGATTTTCATGAGAGAAACTTCATTATGATCCTTGAAACTAACATAATATAATTGATATGTTTTTAACTGATAATATCCACATCAGACCATCACTACAACACTTTATTTATCAAAATCATCAAATGTCACATGATCTGACTCAGAATTTTTTTTTCTTTATTGTCGCGAAAATGTCATCAAAAAGTTGATAAGAAGCAGCTTTTTGAATCATAATGAGTAAAAAACATCAAAATCGGCTTTAGGAAAACAATTTTACTAAAGACAAACCAATATTGAATTACAATTATGGGTCAATATAAAATAATTGAATCTGAACCTGAAAATCCGTTTGCTTCACTTGTGCAAAATCAAACTATTGTGGAAATCCCAGAATTTGAATTGGAATCTGGGGAAGTTTTAACAAAAATTCCATTAGCTTATAAGACATGGGGTCAATTAAATGAAGCCAAAAATAATGTATTAGTTATATGTCATGCCTTAACAGGCTCTTCAGATGTTAGTGATTGGTGGGGTCCATTATTAGGTCCTGGAAAAGCTTTTGATCCAACTAAATTCTTCATAATTTGTTTAAATTCTCTTGGTTCTCCATATGGTTCTGCAAGTCCTGTTACAATTGATCCAAATACTGGTGAAAGATATGGTCCTGAATTCCCACTTTGTACCGTGAGAGATGATGTTAATATTCATAAATTAGTATTGGATGATTTAGGTGTAAAGCAAATCGCATGTGTTATTGGTGGTTCAATGGGTGGTACTTTAGTTTTAGAATGGGCAATTTTTGGAATTGATTATGTTCGTAATATTATTCCATTAGCAACAAGTGCAAGACATTCAGCTTGGTGTATAAGTTGGAGTGAAGCTCAACGTCAATGTATTTATTCAGATCCAAAATATCAAGATGGTTATTATGATCCAAAAGATCCTCCAAGTTCTGGTTTAGGTGCTGCAAGAATGACTGCTTTATTAACTTATCGTTCAAGAAATAGTTTTGAATCAAGATTTGGTAGAAAAGATCCAAGTATTGTTCAAAATAAAAATTCTTCAAAACCTCAATTAATTAGAGAATCTTCAACTCCACGTGAAGAAAATTGGGCAATTCATAATGAAGGTCATAAAGGTAGAAAATTACATAATAATCATAATGAATCACCAAGACCAAGATCTGATTCTCAAAGTTCAACAAATTCAAATACTTCCACAACATCATCAATTCGTAATAAACATCAAACTTTTTTCACTGCTCAAAGTTATTTACGTTATCAAGGTGAAAAATTTATTTCAAGATTTGATGCAAATTGTTATATTTCAATAACAAGAAAAATGGATACTCATGATTTATCTCGTAATCGTGAAGGTGATTTAGAAGATATTTTGAAAAATTTAAAACAACCTGCTTTAGTTATTGGTATAAGTTCAGATGGTCTTTTCACTTATACTGAACAAGAAACAATTGCTAAATTTATGCCAAATGCTAAATTAGAAAGAATTAATTCTCCTGAAGGTCATGATGCATTCTTATTAGAATTTGCAGCTATTGATAAATTAATTATTGATTTCTTAGCTGAAAATTGTAAAGAAATTGTTCAAGCTCCTGGTATTGAATGGAATGAAGCTATTGAAGATGTTAAAGATTCTGTTTTCGGTGAAGCTGAAGATGTTACAAACTGGTGAATTGATTTTAATAGACAATTTTGTATATATATTAATAGCATTATACCATATTAGTTAAGATTTCTACAGTAGATATTTCAATTTCATTATATTTCATTAAAAATAATTATCTCAATACATATATATACCCTTATAAAAACCGACACCCAAAACTCATAAATAACTTCCATATATAAACCCAATACGTCTTAGTTAAACCAGTAACCATGATCCTTCTTCTTCTAAATCCTTATCTTCATCAACTTGTTTAGCAACATCATCAATTTCATTAATATTCATAATTTGACTCTTTGAATCTTCATCAATTAATTCTTCTTCTTCATTAGTTATTATAACTGATTTCTTATTATTAACTAATTCTTTTGCATATTCTAATTCTCTATAAATAGTTTCAATTGCATTTGTAACACCATTTTCTTTACGAATTTTTTCACCAATAATTTTAGCTTTATTAATCATTCTTATATTTGTTGTAGCTTCTTTTAATGCTTTTGATAAAGTTTTAACATTTAATTTTTTTAAACCAATACCTGCTCCAATATCTTCAACTCTATTTGCATAAAAAAATTGATCTGCAAAAAATGGTTTTATAATTGTTGGTAATCCTGCTCTTAATGTTGCTCCTGTTGTACCTGATCCACCATGATGAACTGCTGCATCAATTTGTGGGAAAAGCCAATCATGTGGTAATGAACCTGAATTGAAAACTTCATAAGGTAATTCAATTTCAACAACATTTGAACCACCTAATCTTTCAGACCAACCTTTATTTAAAATACATCTAACATCAGACTCTAATACAGCTTCTACCACAGCTTCAGTTAATTCTTTTGGATTTGAAACAACAATTGAACCAAATCCAATATAAACTAATTTTTTACCATCAATTCTAGCTTGATTTATAAAATCAATTAAATCTTTTGGAGGTTTATAATCAATAGCTTCATCTAAAAACCAATAACCTGTAACTTTAACCCAATCATTAAAATCCACTGGAGGTGGGAAAACTGTTGGTGATATATTATATAAAAATGGAACTTTATTTTGTTGTAAAACATCTAAATTTGTTTTAGGTAAATTTAAAACTTCTTTCCTCCATTTATTAACTTGTCCACTAATACCTTTCCAAAATACATTTTCAAATAAAACATGAGTTAAATAATTATAACTACCACCCTTTTTCTGTTCTGGTACAATGAAAGCATGTGGATAAGCTCTTGTACGAGTCCATGGCATTGTAAAAGCTCTTAAATATGGAATATTTAATGCTTCTGCAATATGAATACCACCCATTGCTGATGGAGATTCTATTAATATATCAGTATCTTGACATGCTTCCCAACTTGAATTTAATAACTCTGTAATCCAACCTCTAAATTTACTTGAAGCTTCTTTAATTAATCCAACATTCATTGAGCCATGAGAAACCATTAATGACATTAGTTCTGTTGGATTACCTGCAATTTCTTTGAATTCTAAACCATGTTTCAAAATCCAATCTTCAAATTCTTTATGTGTAACAATTCTAACAATATGACCTTCTTTTTTCAAACCTAATCCAAGTGCAATATAAGGTTGAACATCACCTCTGGATCCAATAGTTAATAAAGTGAATTTACGAGGTGTTGAAGGTTTAATACTTGTTTTCATTAAAGGATGATCTTCAATCATTATTGGAACTTCAAATCCAGTATCTGAATGGATTTTATCTTCAAAATATTGAATTTTGGCAGCTTGTAATTTTCCACTTGTACTTAAAGCAGATTCAACATCATTTGAACCATTATCAATTATTGTACTATTGAATTTGTCCAATTGTTTTAATAATAAAAATTCACAATCATCTCTTGCAATATTTGAACTAAATTCAAAAAATAATTCTTCATGACCATGAATAACAATAACAAGACCTGAATAACCAAATTTAAAACCTTTTTCTTTATAAATATTTTCAATATCTTTATAAGGTAAAATCATCTTTGTATGGAACCCCGGAACTAACGATCTAAAACAAATTTCCTTCACACCAAGATAAACTTTCCCATAAATTGGTACATTTCTTTGTAAATGAGCATAATAAGCAGCAATTAAAAAATTATTTTCAGGTAAAGTAAAATGATCTAAAAATCTTTTATTTGCTTCAATTCTTTCTTTTGGTGTTGCTAAAAATTCATCTTCTAAACCTCTTTCTAAAGAATTTTCTTCCTCATAATGAACAGGATTTGATTGCCACATAAATGAAGCAGATTTTATAACTTTGGGGGTGAATTTAGTTATACTAGATTTAGCTTGATTTAAAGCCTTTCCTGGATTAATATATGCCGGTAATAGTGATGATGATTTATTTGTATCTTTTGGTTGTAACAGATTATCATGTTCAAGTTGTTTTGATATAAAATCTTCAGGTTCAACATCACCACCCTCTGCTTCTTCATCACTAGTTGTAACCAGAACATCTTCTTGATTTGTTAAGTTTGCAGAACTAACTTCATCTGAACCATTGAATTTTTCCACAACAGGTTCTTGTAAATTGAAAGAAGTTGGTGAAAAATTACCTTGTAAAGAATAGGAAGATGTTGGTGGAGCTGAAATTGGGGATAATGGAGGGGAAACTTCATCATTATTATGAGTGGCACATCTTGAAATTGGTTTATTTGATGTATTACTATTTGATCTTGATCTTGTCTTGGACAAGACTTTTTTCAATGGGAAAAAATTTGAAGTTTTAGATTTTTTAATTGTATTTAAATCTAATTTACCAGTACTATCAACAACATTTTCTGGAATTTTAAAATTATTATTATCTGATGATAAATTTGTATTTGCCTCTATAGCTTCATGAATTAATTTGGTAAATTCAGGACCTGAATTGAAAAACATGAAAAAATAATCATCAACAACAAAAGATTCAGAATTTTCCAATACTTTAATTTTTAAAGTTTCAGCAGATTCAAATATTGGAGTTTCTTCTAAATCCAAAATATTTTGTAGTGGCACTTTAACTGAAACACTATCACCTTTATTTCTACTTGCAAAGATATGTTTCTTCAATAAACCAACCCAAGATCTTGCAATATGAGAAGAATCAGCTTGGAATTTATAACTTTTAGTTTCTGTAAGGATTTTGAACCATGAACCATTTGATTTTGAAGTATGGTCTTGATGATGTTTTCCTGGAACACCTGGAACATGGGGTAATAGTCCGCCAGTTTCAGTTATAATTTCAGCTCTAAGTGCATTCTTCAAATCTATAGTTAACACTGGGAAATATAAATCAGTTGAATTATTATATAAAGAAAAAGTTTGATCTTTTAATACAGCCCAATATCTATTTTGTCTTGGAGAAGTTAATGAAATATTCATTGATAAATTACCCTTTAATGCAATTTTATCAGGTTTTCTTTTTTGTAAAAAGGCGAAAAATAATAAATGTGATTGTGTAAGATAAATATGACCTTGTAATAGCACATCTTTTAATAACCAACAAGGGAAATCAGCAAGGAAAATATCATTTGAATTGATTTGGAAAACAGATTTCAATTTATTACTTAATGCAATTGCTCTTTTTTGACAATCATTAACATCTTTTGAATGTTGATTTAATTTTTGTGCAATTGATATTTCAAACAATGTTGGAGATCTTTCTAATGAAGGGAAATCTTCCAAAGTGGGTATTTCATTTTGTTTTGATTCAATTGGTTGTTGTTCTTCTTGATCATGATTTTTCCCCGTATCCGCTTCAGTATCAACATCAAGATCCGAAGCATTACCTTCAGTAGCAGTATCATTTATTTGAATTTGACTATCAGCAACAGGTTCTTCCTCATCAATGATATCTTGTAGATTCCCATTATACATTGATGCTGTTGTTAACATTGAAACAAAACTTTTTGCCATCCCAGAAGGTTTTGCAACATCTAATTGGTCTCCAGCACCACCACCACCTTTAGAAACATGATAAGCATTTGAATCTGTGATAGATTTGGAAGATGATCTTCTTGTACCGATTCTAGACAAAGAGGAAGCCAATGGTGATAAAGATCTCTTGACTGGAGGAGGTGATAATGCAGCTAAACTTCTAGATGCAGATTTGAAACTTCTATTAACGCGCTCCAAAGTAGGAGAGCGGCTTCTCCTAGAACGCTCTTCTGGTAGCGTATCCTCTTCCATGGCGAGCCTAGTGTAGCATGAAAGAATCCCAGCAAAAGCCCAAGTGATTAATAATCTTCTTTCTTAATTGATGTTTTTTTGGATCTGTTGATGTTTTTTGAATCTGTTGATGTTTTTTGTTTTTGCTTTGAAATTGACATTTGCGATAACAAATTTTGATAAAAAGCACGTGATCGACACTATAAACTATGTGACAAAAATTAAATTAATTAGAATTTCTACAATTCAACGATCAATTAGTGATCTATTCATGTTTATTTGATGATGTCTATGTTCATTGCAGATTCTTTAATGTGTTTTCAATTGTGATAAAGTCCTTGAAAAGCTCCAAATAATCATTTCTACCAACTTTAGCACTAAATTGTTTTCTTTTATCAACATTTAAATTAATAAACCATTTCAATAATCCAAATTCAATGATTGGTTTCTGACCTTGTTCATTTGCACTAAATCTATTAGATCTTGGGTTCAATCCAACATAATGTGCAATTTTATCACTTAATTGTTGTTGTAATATATATAATCTTCTATAACTAATTTCATCAATTGGAATCATTTTGAAAATTGATCCATCAACATTAACACCAATATTTTGATAACTTGTAATGGAACCTTGATCAAATTCATTAAATTTAGGTACTAATTTCAAACATGTTGTGATAGAATTTGTAGTAAATGTTGATTTTTGTAATAATTTTTGTCCTGATAATGATTTTGGATCATCTGGTTGATATGTTAATAAATGTAATGATTCTTCATCATCTGCAACAAGGAAATAAATTTCTCCATCATCAACTATAAAATCTGTTGTTATAGCATTAAATCTTTGTTGATCTTTACCTAATAATAATAATCTATATGGTTCTGCATCAAAACCTAAAAACCAAATACTTTTCATTGAATCTGAAATTAATAATAAATTACCAAAACTTTTGGAATCTGATAAATAAGTTGCACAATCCATAAATGCTACTGGAACAGTACTATTATCTTGTTGTAAATCTCTAATAATGATTTTTTGTCCTTGACTTGTTAAAAATCTACCACTAATTTCATTAATTGTTGTAACTGCACCTTTAACAACTTCTTGGAAAATTTCTTTAAATTTATAAATTGCTTCAGGTTTTGTTGGATCTGGAACAATTGAAATTATATCAATAATTTTAAATTCTCCAAATACTGATAAATCTTCTAATCTATATTTACCAATACCAAAAATTATAAATTCCTTCTTTTTCTTGGAACGTGAAGAAATTGTTAAATTAATTGAACGAACATCATTTATAATTTCATTTTCTTCCATTTCAATTTCATCAATTATAGTCCAATTAATTGGATTAATTAATTTTAAAAATCCTTTAAAATTTTTAGCTTTTGGTTTTTCAGATTCAGATCCAACAATTGGTACACCATCTTCATCAATTGCATTATAAGAAATTTCTTCAAATGTTGAAACAATAAATAATCCAGAAGTTTCATGATATGTAACTTTATTTGGAGTTTGTCCCAAAGATACAATTTCAATTGGTAAATTTTGTGAATAATTAAAATTTTCACCAATTGGTAATGAACAAATTCTTGCAGTTTTATCAATATCAATATACATAAATTTTGAATCATCATCTTTATCATTTGAATCTTTAATTTTACATATGGAGATTGCAGTTTTTGAAGTAAATTTAAAAATTTTTGGAATTGAATGATTTGTTTTCCAAATTATATATGGTTGTTTACCTGTAACAAATATAAATTTTTGATTCTTAATATTTAATTTAATTAATTTTTTCTCTAAAATTGTTGAATCAATCCATAAATTTTCTGGTGCACCTGTAATTAAATTTAAATTTTCAATTTTTTGAAAATTTGATATATTATTAAGATCTTTAAAAATTTTATAAAGTATTAATTCACCACCAATTGTTAAAATTGTTAAAATTTCCTCTGAATGAAATTCATCACCAATTTCAGAAAATTCAATTTCTTTAATAAAAGGATCTGGTATAAGACCTTTTGTTGATTCAAATGGAATAATTTTAGAAACTTCATTTAATTTATTAATTTGATCAATTTGATAAACTTGTTCATTATGATTTTTTTCAAAAATTAATATTTGATTATTAACTGTAGTAACCATAAATAATATATTTGAATTTTCAATTTTTGGATTTTCATCATTTAATGATCTTTTTGAACCTCTTTTATCATTTGATAATAATTTACTTAATGATATAGTACCAAAAGTTATAATAATATCACTTATAATCTTTGGGATTTTAACTTTATTTAATTTTTTACCCTTCGGATCCATTTCAAAAATTTTAACTTCACCTTTTGAACTTGTTATAATAATAAAAGGATCAAAAATTTTACCATTTATAATTTCAAAATCAAAATTAATTTGTAATAATTTTTTAAAATTTAAATCAAAAAGATAAACATTATTTGATGTGATTTGTAAAATTCTTTTTTGTGATTGAATTGTATCAATATTGATTGTAATATTATTATTTTTAAAATCAAAACTTTGAAAATTTTTAAAATTTTCATTTATAAGGAAAATTTCACTTTTAAAATTTTGTAAATCTGTTGTTATTAAATATTTATTCAAAATATTCCAAGTTTTATTAATATTATTAAATTTTAATGATGAATGAATTTTTGGTTGAATACTTTGATTAAATAAAGTTAATTTCCCTTGTTTACCTTCACCTGATGTCCCTACAATGGAAACATCATTTTGATTTGGATTTGTTAAACCTTGAATTAAAGAATTTGGATTTATTTTCCCCAGTGTAAATGAACTTAATGGTCCAGCATTGAATAATTTATCTTTAATTTGAAGATTGAAATTTATTAATTCATCATCATTATTATTATTCAAATCTTCATCTTCATATAAATCTTCATCATCATCATCATTATTAGTTTTAGTGGCTGCCGGGGTGGTTGGTTTTGCTTCATTTGTTTCTTGTTTTAATTTTTCATATTTAATCAATATAGAATCTGATGATTGACAACCAATAAAGATATTTTGTTCATCAATATTTGTAATTGAAATTGGAGACCTTATTTGTAAATCTTTTTCAAATTTTGTTATTAATAAATCTTTAACAGATTTACCATCAATGAAAAATTGTAAATTATAAGATTCACCAAATTGATCAATAATTAAGATATTTTTATCATTTAAAATTTCAACTTTTGAATGTTCCAAAAAAATATTTAAATCAGATTGGTCTTTCAATTTGAAATCTGTTATATCTTGATAATATTTATTCAATCCAATACCTTTTGTATTACCTGAATTATCAATATGAATAATTTCATTACAACCAATTAATAAAGTACCATTTATTGGATCTGGTAAAGGTTTTACAAACCATAAATCATAAGGTAAATTTTCCACTAATAAAATTGCAGTAGATGAATCATTTAATAAATCTAAAGATAAGACAACAAAATTCACCGTGTCCTTTTTAATGGATAAATCACTTGCCCAAGTTTGTTCTTTATTATGTAAAATTGCTAAAGTTGGATCTCTATAACTATGTAGGAAATCACAATCTATTATATTTGATACTGTTGATTCTAATTTATTAGCTGGTAATATTATTGAGTTATGGAATAATTCAATATTTTGTTGTTGTTGATCATTTGATTGAGTATGATGATCATCATCAATAATTTCATCATCATCTTGTTTAAAAGGTAAAAAAGCTAATAAATCATTATAAACAACTAATGAAGTTTGATTATTAGGATCAATTTTCAATTGAGATTCATTAATTTTAGAAATTGATTTAGTATAAAATTCTGATTCATAATAATGTAATGAATTTGTTTGAATTGTATTTAAATCATGATCAAATGAAACAATAGATAATTTAGCTAAACTTGTTAAAATGGCCAATTGATCATACTGTGAGTCTGGTAATTTGATTGATTTGATTCCAATGATTTTACCATTCAATTTAAATTCATGATTTAATATTAATTTATCATTTTTAGAATCAATTTGGAAAACTTGTAATAATGTATTCTTCACCACAATGAGATCCTTTTTCGTTAGACTTGTGAAATGACAGCTTATAGAGTCTGATACCACTGTAGGATCGATGAATTGATCATAAACATCCATTATCAGCACCAATTAACCACCAAATAACCACCTTTGAAACCTCTGTTTCTTTTGTTTCTCTTTAAGATTTGTTTTGATTTTGATTTTTTAATTTTAATTTAAATTTCCAACATTGAAAAAGTGGAAAAACTTGAATTAAATATCCTAATCGGGTAATACTATCAAATAGGAAACTTCAATGATGGTTACATGGCGATGGTCTTCGACTATGTCAATTTTACAAGTGTCAATAATAAATATAATTAAATACTCAAAAAGAATAGTGATGATTTTTGATTGAACTATTCTACTTTGATGGTTTGATATTGCCGAAATTAAGTTTCTGCTCTCTTTTATTGGATATTTACCATTTAAAATAAGCTGAACTGGCTGGGTGTGGTATATTATTTGGAATGCTATAGAGTTTCTGTCTGCAAACTGCAAATATGGATTGAGGTGATTAAATGAGAAGTGTGATATAACTTCTGATATTCTCTTTATACAAGCTCAACTAAGGGGGAAGATGTTTGAATTGAGCTAAAATAAAAACTGAGAGCTTTCTGATTATTTCCAAATGTTCTGTTTCCTCTTCACATATCTCTTACAGATCAATTAACAACAAAGCTATAAGAAATCATCAAGACTCAACAAGTTGATCAATTTATATACATAATGACTTATAATAAGATCTCAGCTAGTTCAGCTAACATACGTGAAGAGATTTGCGTTCTTGATCCTTTATTTTATGCTGATGAGTTTGAAAGTTCTTCAGTTTATCTTCAAGATGATACAGAAGACTCTCTCACAAACAGTTTCAATTCATTAAAGCTCAAGAAATCATTTAAATCACTAGACGAGCGTAGAGCTAAACTTCGAAACTCAGATGATCATTTTACAATATTACAATTACCAAAATATAATTCATTTACTGGTAAATCCTTACCACCAAAACCAAGATCAACATTGAAAAATTTTACTATACATCAAGATGAAAATAAAGAAATTATTAAAATTAATGAACAAAGCTCCAAATTAATTGAAACTTTTGGTATTGATTTTAAATTGTATCTTGATACAGGGTTTCATTTATCTCCATTCACTCAAATTCAATTTAAAAGATATCAAAATGAAGAATCTAATGTAAATATTCCAATTGAATATAGAATTGATTATAGTATTGATTTATCATTAATTGGACGATTTGTTGATGAAAATTATGATATATTGGATGAATTTGATGATGATTTTTTTGAATATGGTGATGTAATATATTTGGATAATTCTGATGAAGATGATTTTGAAAATGAAGATGATTCTTCTGATGAAGAAGGTTAATACCTAGATAATGAATTGCTTGCTTTGAGAATCATTCCCATAGTATTATATAGTAGGATATATAGTTATTTAATCCCAAACTCTCTTCATTCATGATCACTACTTATAATTTGTAATTATTCCCACCTCTCGGTTAAATGAAATTAAGGTCAAGCGGTTAAATGAATAATTAGTGATATTCGCGATTTTCAAAAATTATATACGCGTTTTAAAAGTAAACAAAATATAAACTTTCAAATCACAATTTTGATCCAATAGACCAAATACATTTGGTGAATTGAATCGAGTGCTAATGAGTCAACCATATCAACCTAGTACAGATATACCTGATGTTGATCAGAATTCAGAAAATGGGTTTGGTATTGATCCGAATTTACTGAATGGAAATTTTAAAAAATATAAAACTTATGAAAAAAATGATGATGATATTCAACTTGATGGTGATGGTACCGTGGTAGAGAATGGTAAAGTGTTGGGTAATGATAAGATAGTACAGAATGGTAAAGATGGTAATGTATTAGATGCTGATGTATTAATTGATGGTGATCTATTAGATGATGATGAAGATGATGATGATTATATTGAAGATCAAAAAGTTTTTGAAGAATTATCTGAAGATGAAGATGATTATGAAGATGATGAAGAATATGATGATGATGATAATAATAATCATGATGATGACTACATAACAATAATATTAAAATTTATATTAAGAATTGTTTTCAAAATTCAAAAAAATTGGTTTAAATCATTATTATATGGAATAATTTTTTTAATAAATTTATTAATAATTTCATATTTAACATCATCAAATAATAATCAATATAATTCAAATGATGAAATTTTAACAAATTTTAAATCTTTTAGTGATATTTCTAAAACTATTGCAAATTTACAATGGCAAATTAATGATTTAAATATCAAAAATAAAAATAAATTCCATGAATTTAGACATTATTTAGATTCCAAGATTGATGAATTTAATAATAAATTTACTCAATTAGATTCAAATGTATTATCAATCACAAAAGCAAATGAAGAAATTATATCTAGGTTAGATTCAATCAATTTAGAAACCATTGGATCTAAATATATTAAAGATGATAGAATTCCTATAATTTTAGATGATAATTCAAATATTAAAATATTACCAGAATTTGCAGATTTCTTGGAACAGAAAATTAAAAATCTGGTTAATAAGTATGAACCAACATTAGATTTAAAGTTCCAATTAAATTATGAAAAATTTATTGAAGATTATGTTTATGATATTTTAAATAATAAAATTGGATTTATGAATAAAGATGAAATTTTATCAATAATTCAATTACAATTTAAAGAAAATAAATCAAAATTAATTTCAGAAATTAAAAAAATTAATTCAAAATCAAATATTGATTCAAATATTTCAAATGAAAAATTAATTAATAAATCTCCAAGAAAAATTAATAAAATAAATTATGGTCAAGCAGTTTCAGGTGCAAGAATTTTAAATTATTTAACATCGCCAACTTTTAATCAACAAAATTCCCAGAAATCTTTCATATCAAAGTTTTTCCCTAATGATCAAGATGATGATAATGAATCAAATTCAATAAATTCACCATTTATAATATTAACATCAAATGAAGGATATTGGAAAAGTTCTACAATAAATAATACACAATTAGGTATTAAATTCTTAGATCCAATTTATTTAAGTGATATATCATATTTACATGGTAGATTTATAAATGGTGGTATATTAACAAGTTGTCCTCAAATATTAGAATTATATGTTAATGTTGAAAATCAGGAGGAATTAATTGAAAAATTACCAAGGACACCAATTTTTTTACAAAATCATATTAAAATAAGTGAATTAAATTATCATTTAAATGAACCTGAGGAACAATTTTTCCAAATACCAAAAGAATTACAATCATTTATTATAAAATCCCTAATAATCAAAATACCAAAAAATTATGGTGATGAATTTTTTACAAGTTTTTATAAATTAAATATTCATGGATTAACAAAATTTGATTTATATTCAATACAAAAGATTATTAATGATGATAAGATTGATAATGTCATAAAGAAGAAGTTAAATCAAGAGAATAATGAAGTTGATTACTCAAATGATATACCAAAATTTGGTTCAGATCCAATAGCTTTTTAAATATACTTTTCCAAATCGGGTAATTAAGTGCATAAATTATTCGTTTTTTGACGTTATCAAAAATGTGCAAATTATGAAAATTACGTAAATTATATAAATTTTCGCAATTTTTGCCAAAATTCAACAATTTTTTAAACATGTGTTCACATTTTTACATAAAAATTCACAGCCAAATTACTTGATTAGGTAAAACGATAATACGTGTGGTTACTCTAATAGGAAACAAAGGTGAACAAAATAAAGGTGAATTTTACAAAACAAGTAATTTTAAAAGTGTCAAATGCCAAATTGCAAATGAAATAAAATGAAATTGACAAGATTTGATTTTTAAAGGACAATTAAATGAAATGAAATCAATGAAATGAAGTGAAGTAAAAGGAAATCAAATGAATGGGAATGAATAGAATAAAAGTATAATGAAATGGAATAGAATAAAAGATATCTTAATGAACTTGTAGAAGATTGAAATAGCCTAAACTTGTATCAAATCAACTAAAATATTGTGTATCTGATCTAGCTATATTTAGTCTCTTTACATAATCACCGTTAAGATAAGTAATTAAACAATTGTGAAATTTATTTGAAACAATTCTCAACAAGTCATCTGCCTAGAGAACTACATTGCTAAAACAAATAAGAAGTACTATTTATTCAATAGTTATTCAATAGTTATACTATTCCAAGATCATCAGTCTATCATTCGTTGCTCATTGCTCGTTGCTGCTGATTAAGCCTATAGGAACATTAGGAAGGAACGAAAGGAACACACTAAACAACGCCATCTTTGGGCTGTGATATATAAGTATTTGAACTCCAGATTATCACATATTCAATATTTGTTATCAATATCGATAAAGTATCAAAGTATCAGGTTATCAAGGTACACTTCATTAGACGGTTACACGGTTACACGGTTAGACAAAGTATAGATCATGGCTATTAAAGACCTATTCAAGCTGAAAAAGAAGGAGCAACAACCAAAAGTTGAAGCAAAAGATTCAAAATTCCAATCAAGTGGTTCTCAAGGATTCCAAGGTCCTCAAGGTATTCAAAATACCCAATCTCAAGGCACTCAAGGTCCATTTACTGATAGTTCTGAAAATGTCCCATCAACTTCAACTTCATTCACTTCAAATAATACAGATTTTATTCCAACAAGTTCAAATTCAAATATTTATAATCAATATAATAATTTAAATTCAAATCAAGATATTCCAAGAGAATTAGTACCAATTATTACATTGATTAATTGTCAAAATTCAAGAATTTATCTTCAAGATCAATTATACTTAAATATTGAAAAAAATGATGGTGGTTTAGAACAAGATTTATCTTACCAAATTGTTGATGGGTTAATTAAAGGTAATCAATTGATTTTACATAATTCAAATAATGAATTTAAACCAATTTCAATTAATTTATTAGAAGCAACCGTTAAATTAGTTGCAAATGAATTATCTTTAATCCTTTCATCATCAAATAAATTAGCATATCATTTAAAATTTACTTCATTAGATCAATTACAAAATTGGATTAGTTCTATAAAATTATCAAATTTTGAATTTAATCATTTAAATCAAAGTTATACTGCTTCTTTATTAAGTTCTAAAGCTACATTATTATCTGATATTCATGTCTTAATGGCTGAAACTAAATATAAGACTGGTGAATGGGTTAATATTAAATTTAAACAAGATTCAAATTGGATTAAATCTTATTGTATTATTACACCAAGTGATAAATCTAAAAAAAATAAGAAAGTTAAAAATGGTTCAATTCAATTTTATACTTCATCAAAAGCTAACAAGAAACATTTAATTTGTTCAATTAATTCAATTGATTCATGTTTTGCAGTTTATCCAAATCATGTTGATTTAATTGATGATTCTACATTATTAAGATTAAATGGTGATTTAAATATTTATAACCTAGGTTTAAAAATTGATGATATTGATACAGATCCAACTTCACCAATTTCAAGAACAAATTCAATTAAATCAAATTCACCACCACCATCTGGAGGAGGAAATCTCGGTGGCTTAAGATCAAGATCAAATTCAAATAGATCACATCTTAGATCTTCATCAATTTCTTCAATTGGTTCATCAAAATCTTTAAAATCTTGGAATATTAATAATACTTCACTTTATATTTTACCAAAAACTCATAATGCTGTTAAGAATTTTGAAACTTTAATTAGATTTTTATTACCATTATATGATTCATTCCAATTATATGGAAGACCAAAAAGATTAATTTCTGAAAAAAATGATTATGGTTCTTTATTATTTGGATTACCAAGTTTACCACATACTGAATATTTAACTTCACAATTAGCTCGTGATTTAATTCAACAATCTTGGTCAAAAATTTTAACAAATGATGAATTTTTCAATTATAATTTATTATTTTCCAACAAGATTCAATCATTATATCAATCAACCCAAGGGTTTAAAGGTTTTGGTGATTTGAAGAAAACTTTAAATAATGAAATTACATTTGAAGATCCAATTATTAAATTTAATAATAATTTAACTATACCAGATTTTCAAATTGATCCTCAACAAACTCCAAAATATGCTTTTAGTATTAATGATTTACCAATTAATGCAAATGATAATTCAAATTCAAACTTTAACTTAAATGCTCCATTAAGTGCAGGTCCAACTTCATCAACAACTCCAGTTCAAGGTCAAGGTCATTTAAGAATTCCAAGTTCTTCATCAAATTTCCAAAATCAAAATCAATCATTATTAAATTCTTCATCTTATTTACAAAATTCTTTAAATTATGGTAATAATGGTAACCAAGTTCCAATTATTAAATCACCAAGATTAAGATCAAATTCAACAAATATTGGTAATTCAAATTCAACAAATTTTGGTCCAAATTTATCAATTAATAATACTTCAAATGGTAATTCAAATCAAACTTCACCAATTTTATCAAATGGTTTTACAAATGATAAAACTAATCCAACAAATTCAATTCCAGCTGTTGCATAATTTAAATCATGTATACTAGTTCTTTTTTATAGAGTTTACACATATATTGTTTCAATTTTTGTTTATTTTTGCTATGGTTTTAAAAGGTTTATTATAAATTAAAGGGTATATCAAAGAAAATATCAATTATCCATACATTTACCCTCATATTATTATCTGATTTCAAGTTTTTATCTTTGTTTTTTTGTTATATTTGATTTCAAGTTTTTTGCTTTATAACTTTTTTTGTACTACTTTATATCACTCATGCTGTTAACCAGGTTTATATATATACTATGTGACAATTATATGTCTATTATATCAAATACTTTGTTTATATAAATGCATATCATACAATTTTTATTAAAAAAAAAATGAAATTTGTAGTTTTATTAAATTGAAATGAGTTTATATGGTTATTATATCATCCAGACACCAACCCAAAATTTTATTATTCGCGAATTTTAGAGATGTGAAAAAAAAAATTTATTATAGAGATGAGCTTTGTTTATGTCTTATCAATAAACAAATCACATTTGAACTTATTGAATATCACAAGAACATATAATCATGTCCGAGGAAAGAGAAACTAGACATGCCAAAAGACAAAGACTTCAGTCTCAATCTGAAAAAAGATTACAATATCGTGAAGAACAAGAAATTAAAAGAAAAAATTTAAAACATGTTAAAATTGATGAAAATTTAATTAAAGATCAAGATTCAAATGATTCTAAATTACCAATCAAAAGATTCTATAGACAAAGAGCTCATTCAAATCCTTTTAGTGATCATAAATTAGAATATCCAAGATCTCCAGATCAAATGAATTGGTCAAAATTTTATCCAAAATTTGTTGATGAAACAACTGGTAAATTATCAAAACAAGTTACAATTGCAGATATTGGTTGTGGTTATGGTGGATTAATGATTGATTTATCACCAGCTTTCCCAAATAATTTAATCCTAGGAATGGAAATTCGTGTTCAAGTTACAAATTTTGTTGAAGATCGTATAATTGCATTAAGACAACAACATTTTAAAGAAGATAAATTTCAAAATATTAATGTATTAAGAGGTAATGCAATGAAATTTTTACCAAATTTTTTCCAAAAGTCACAATTAGAAAAAATGTTTTTTTGTTTCCCTGATCCTCATTTTAAACAAAGAAAACATAAGGCAAGAATTATTACAAATACTTTATTAAGTGAATATGCTTATGTTTTAAAAGAAGGTGGTATTATATATACCATAACTGACGTTAAAGATTTACATGATTGGATGGTTAAACATCTAGATGAACATCCATTATTTGAAAGATTAGATGAAAATTTCGAAAAAAATGATGAATGTGTGAAGATAATGTTTAATAGTACAGAAGAAGGTAAAAAAGTTGAAAGAAATAAAGGGGATAAATTCTTTAAATGTTATAAAAGATTACCAGATCATCCAAAACTCTGATTATTATCTTTGATTGAGATATACAACTCACAAATTTCATTTTGCACATATTACAATTTTTAATCTTGATTTGTTATAATTTAACATTTATGGGATAGGATTAATCAAATTTACAAATATTAGATGATATCGACATTGACATTTTCATATAATATGATCAATACGCTATAGTTTGGATCTGTAATTAATTATAATGCTCCAAATATTTTAGAATTAACGTACTAAGCTGTATAATCTCACATTAATAAATTCTTTATAGTCTGAAAATATTATATTATATTTAGTATACAATTAATCACTAGCTATATATAAATTATAAATGGATCAGCTGGATGATCATCAATCGCCACCATTATTATAACTTTTGTTTTTTTGACAAACAAATATCATTAAAAAGAATAGAGCAATAGACCCACCTACGTGGAACAAAGACTTTAGAAACTCATTAATGATGAGAATAATAAATTTAAAAATCCAACCAGCTTTTGATTTACCATGTGAACATTTATTCCTAATCAACATCAAAAGAAAAAAAATTAATCTGGTTACTAATGGTGTTATACAAATTTCATTAAATTCTGTAGTAAACACACCAAAGACTAGATGCAGCGTGACAGCCATGTAAAGGTGATTATTCTTCTTAAAGCTATGCGTACCTGCAAATATAAAAAACGTTATAAACTTCAAAACGAAAAATAATGATTTCATAATGTTGGTTTTAACTAAAGAACCATAAGCTTTTGAGCTTAACAATGCTTTCTCCAACTTTCCCCAGTCTGTGGGTGGAGTCTTTGATCTAGTGAGTTCTTCTCTAACTAATTTTCTTAATTGGTAAATATGCACTTTATTGAAGCTCTTTAAAATAGTAATTGATTGATTCTTAGATTCTGATGTATCATTTGGTTGATTCTTAGATTCTGATGTATCATTTGGTACTTGAAATGATCTTGAATCACCGGCATGTTGTGGATCATTTTGACAATCTAGCTCATCAGTAAGTCCTGCATATTTTTCAATATCTTCATCTAGATTTGATGAGCTGTAATTGGTCTGATCGATCTTCATATGATTCCTATTGATATAGGTTTGCTCTCGAATCTTGTCTTTAAGCTGAACGATTTCTTGTTGTAACCCATCAATTTGTTCTTGATGTTTTCTGTCATTATCTTTTAATATTTTAGTTATTTGATACAGCATGGACTCTGAATTCTCTTTTACCATATTACCTAAATTTTCCATTAAATGAGTGCAGTTACCACAATTGGCAGTGGAAAGATTTTGAGCTGGAAGACAAGCGCTTTGAGAGTTATCAGTATTTGATTTCAATTGCGAACTTGTAGGGACATTTTCATCAGGAGTAATTTTATCAACAGCAACAGTTGTATGGTAGTTGTGAATATTATCGTCAACCTCTGAAATACGTTCATTACCAGCTGTTAAAGCTCGTCTATCCTCATCCACGCGATCTAGTAATTTCCCAGATTTTGAATCATCATGATTTGAAGAACCAGGTGCACTAATTGACTTTTTGTCGACGAAAATTCTTTTAAGACTAAATTGCATTATCGATTAATTATATTATCAGCTCTTGAATTTATCTTCAATTCGAATTAAATTATAATTTAATAATTAATATTAATTTTATATTATGAACTGTTGGAAATAAGAAATGAAAAGCATCCAAAAATAAGGATAAGCTTACTTAATCATTATATAATACGAAGTCACATGTGATCAGGTGATATTTTTAGGGCACAAGAAAATAAGAAACTTATAGTAAGAGCAATAATTTAGTATCATACAATTTAAGTTTATTGAAAGGTAAACAATAAAAGAAGAGGAGAGTTGAAAAGTAAACAAATATAAAAAGGAAGCAAAAAGGTAAACACAATATAAGATTGAAATGTAAACAAGTTATAAAGCTGAAATGTAAACATAAACATGAACTTGAAAGGTAAACAATCATAAATGAATAAAGGTAAATATAACATAATGTTTACATTAGGAAAAGGAAACAAGTAAACATACTTGTTAATATAGAAAGTGTACAAACAAATTGGCTTCCAAAAGATTATAAAAGGAGAAGGGAATTCCCAAATTTCCAAATTATTTTGTCTCTTCTACTTTTTCTTTCTATATAGGAATTCAATATTATTAACACATAGTTAAAACAATTATCAATCATAAGTTTTATTAAGTATATTTACACATCAACGTAGATAAACTTAACACAAAGTCCAACAAACAATTAAGCAATTAATAATCAATTAGATTATTATATTATTAAACAATTACAAACAATATTTATATATCAACAATTATTATTATCAATTAATTACAAATAGCTATTATCAATTATTATTATTAATTATTAAATTTAAAACTAAAAAATATAAAACCTCCAATAAAAACTAAAAAACATATTATTTATATTATTAACATATTCAATTTATAATATTATAAAAAACCAAAAAACATATTTATTATATTATTACTCATAGCTATATATATTATAAAAACACAAAAATATTAAAGCTCTCTTATATTATCAATCAGTACTGAATTTTATCAAACAATATTATCTTATCTATTATATTTCATAACTTAAATCAATTATTATTTATATTATATTAAAAGTCTCCAAAAACATATTTAAACTATTATTTATATCAATATATCAATTACAAAACAAAGTTATATTAAATTATATTATATCTATTTCTATTATCAACAGCTTAAACAAATAACAAAGTCGATTAACTAAAAACGCGTTTATATTATTAAAGTTTATATTATCAAATCTATTATATTATTAAATTATATTTTATCAAAGAGAGAAATCAATTACAATATTATCTAAGGCCGTTATTATAAATCTTATCAAATTATATTCACTTATATTTTTATTAACAGTTGCAACCAAAGACTACTTATTATATATATATTCTATTAGTCTTTTCAAGTTTAACAAGTATCTATTCACTGCGCAGGAATTATACTTATATTTATATTTATTAAACTATATTATCTTATTCTAATTCATTAGATCATTAATTATCAACCATTAACGTCATGTCTGAATTTCACACCGTTTCAGGGAATATTGATTCCAATGCCGATGTCTTTTACGACTCAGCTGAAAGTAATCAAGACTTTATTCAACATGAACAAATATATATGTTGTAGCCCACCAACTAGTTTGACCCACGAACAGCAGATGTTCGTGGGCACCGACCCACCAACAATGAATGTTCGTAGGCACAACCCACCAGCATTTTAGAGTTCGTGGGCACTAACCTGTCAACATAGGATGTTGGTGGGCTGCCCGTCAACATTTTATATAGCATAATAACATATAATATAACATATGAACCCAATTGCTATTATATATTGTAGTCTTATCAAGAAATACTTAAGCTCAAATGTACCAGATATCTCAACAATTTTGAAGATTGAATTATTCTAGTATATCTGCAGCGGCAGGAAAGTGTTGAAATCAATAAAAGTCAAAAGCCCTAATGTTGTCCAGTTGGTTGATGTCGACGATAAATCACTCAATATGTAGGTTTATAGAAGAGTAAGCAGATGAATTCAAATTTATAGAAGTTATATTGTGTTATAAAGACCTAGCCAATACTGTTACGTACCTGATCCAACTACTAGAGAATTGTCTAATTAAAACAGAATGATACTGACTATAGTACGAAATATTAGAAGAGTCTAGTCGTAATTATTAAGTCGTCATAACTAACCAAACATCAGAAAACTATATAAAAGAAATAAATTGTTTAATACATTATCCCCCATTTGTTTTACTACAAGTATACGGCCGCCATTACAATTATCATTGGTAAGAACTTTGATTCAAGTTAAATTATCTGACAACAACAGTCAATCACTCAAACAGGCTCTCAATAGTAGTTGTATAATTAATGGATCACTTCATTATCATGTGTACTATACTACTATACTTATATAATGCCATATAATGGTTTAATATACCCATATATCGCTAATTATTATACCATGATGGTTCAATTATTTCAATAATCATACACCATCCCAAAAGAAACCCGGCCCGTCTTTAATAAATTTTTGAAGAATATCGATCAATATCTAAATATTGAAGTCAATATCATGACCTTTCAGAAATAGCTTTAAAGTACATGGGCATATAACTAAATTTTTGATATGTCTTAGTACAAAAATATTATAACAATATTTTACTATACAGAATGTTGACGGGCAGCCCACCAACATCCTATGTTGACAGGTTAGTGCCCACGAACTCTAAAATGTTGGTGGGTTGTGCCTACGAACATTCATTGTTGGTGGGTCGGTGCCCACGAACATCTAATGTTGACGGGCAAAATTGTTGGCGGGCTACAACATATACTAAGTTTTAACTATATAAAATTTGCAGATAACAAATTACGTGCATGGATCATATTCCATTAAATAAAATAATAATATTGGAACATTAATATTAGTATCATGATCATGACGTTTGTACCACTTATAGCTAT